ACCGGAAACCGGAAAAATGGTCCGGAATATAGAAAAAAAATTGTTTTATAAATCCTTAACAAAGAACTTTCTTTGATATTTAACCAAATTTGTTTAAATGTAATATTGCCACACAAATATACGCATTATATATACAATATATTTATAAAAGAGTTATTATTAGTCAGAGTTGAATTAGACGACGTAGCAGTTGCATTAAAAAGTGGTCAATACACGTATAAAGAAAGTAAAAATTTAACATGCAGAGCTTTTAAACTTAAAAAGAAATAAGAGATCAGCCAATCATACTAACTTGGTTAGAAAATCATCTGCTAAGTCCCAGATAGGACTAAACGGCCGTCCAGTGCTTTCTGCATTCTGTTGAGGATTATTCTAGGCTCGACGACTTACTATATATATATATATATATATATATATATATATATATATATATATATATATATTAAAAGAAAAAAGAATAAATCCGACATATTTTTATTACTTTTAGTGGATACTCATATTTGTGTAGACGCTCCGTTTATTTTAAACAGTATTTTAATATCGTCTAACAGCCTAAACATTCGACAAAATGCGCCCTCTAGCAGGATACGAAATGCGTCCCACTTTACAGGAAAAATCGCTGTTTAATTTAAAGTGGTTTAAACAGCTCAGCTCCGAAAAGCTCGACAAGCTTTACCTTTAAAGGATTTTTTATTTATTCAACTTTCTGCGAAAATCATAACTGCTTAGTTTCGTATCCCAAACGTATCCCAAAACAAAGCAATCTCTAAAGAAGTAATAGCTTTTTATTTTAATCCTAGATATTTTTTTTATTATTTAACCGTTATTTACTGTGGATGCAGTTATCTGAGTAGACGCTCTTTTTATTTATTTAAACAATATAATTATTTCTTTTCGTCTACCGGCCTGAAAATTCGAGAAATCTTATTAAATAGAAATATGCGCCTTTCAGTAGGATTCGAACCCGCGCTCTCCTGGGCACGGGAAACTGTCATTAGATCCGACGTGATTATACCGACTCAGCCCCAGTTTTTCTGGGGGTTAAAAAATAGAGAAGTACTTGCGGAATACTTAAAAGTATACAGTCTTCCGTAAGTACTACACACAGCTAAACTACTGTGTATAAGTTAACACACGGAAATTCACCATCCAAAAACAACATCCTTGATAATGGTTAGAGAATTTGTCGAAAGCGCTCGGAACAATTATAATTATGAACAGTTTCTATATTCTTTAACCCATGAAAAATGGGAAAAATGTTAGAATGCTGGCAAATCTCAATAAAAGATTAATTAAATCTTCCTTGTCGACGGTTTTCAATGAAAGATGCTTGAAAGAAAGGTTGCACACACACACACACACACACACACACACACATATGTATATACTGAAATGGATAAATATAAATAAATGTATGTGTAAGTGTTTAAATAAAAAATACATTAAATAAATAAATAAATGTAAGTTTGAGCCTAAATTCAAGATTAGATTATACTGTAATTAAATATTTAATTTTAACAGTAAATAATTCACCCAAACAACAACATATCTCGCGAGACCCAGAAATATTAACCAAACGGTGTTAAACGAACGGTGTAAACTCAAATTAGTTCCTAATGATTGCATAGAGCATGAAAACCCGTGTTGTACTCTCGGCGTGGGTATTTATTAATATATTATTAATATATATATATATATATATATATATATATATATATATATATATATATATATATATATATATATATATATATATATATATATATATATATATATATATATATATATATATATATATATATATATATATGTATATGTGTGTGTGTGTGTGCAACAGTTTTTTGCAGTTCCTACATTCTTAAAAACATTCTGATTGAATTTATCGTTGCTTATTCTCTCCGTTCATGAAATTCTCCAACATCCTTCTGTAAAACCACATTTCTGTTCCCTCCTCGTCATCCATTTTGAGATTTGTCCAACATCCATAGTGGATGGATATCACTTAGTAATCCAGCACTCATTTCTTTCTTTCTAACAAAAGTCTTTCTGTTTTTCAGTATTTTGCTTAACTTTTGTAATCCGCTCGTCCAATGCGTGTTCGGATTTCGGTATCGTATTTTCCATCCTCTGCTAAAATACTTCCCAGATATTTAACCTTTTCTATTTGCTTGATGTTGACATTTCTAATTTGTAACTCGCATCTTGGGTTTTTCCTTTTACTGGCAATCATACTTACTATCTTCTTGCGGTTGATAGTCTTTTCTTTTTCTTGCTTTCTATTACTACCATGTCTAGGGGATTATGTAGTTGTTTTTCGCGTCAGCCATTAACACGGTGTCATATGCGTATCTTATATTATAAGATTATGCCCACCGATAATAAATCCTGGTAGGGTCTCCAGTTCCCCTAGAGTAGCGTCGCTGTAGATGTTGAATAAATCTGGCGAGAAGACGCGTCCTTGTCTCACGCCCAGTTCTAATTTTGTGTAACTTCTCAAAAATGAGAAAGAAAATGATGACAAAGATTGCATATCACATTGTCTTCAAGAATGTTCACCTATCGTCCGGTTTACACTCCTCTCCGGTCTTTTGAACCGGAGTAGAGGCTTAAATTTTGATTTTTGTTTAGAATTGGGTTTCCGGTTCTTTCTAAAGTTTTTCATTCGCTTTCACTTCCATTAGCTCCTTGCACCTTTGTGGCATTATCGTCTTTCTTGGGGTGAATTGATTAAAGAAACGTTATGCTCTTAAAGAAACTCACATTCGCTTTTATTTTCCCCTATTTCTTTTTAATCTAACAATTAAAATATAATTTTTAATCTTTTTTTTGTATACAATTAACGCAAAAATAAGCAAAAGAGAACTACCTTTTAAAAATGAATTTTCTCGTTTTGTAGCCAAGATATTAATCTTAAAGTTAGCATACTGAAAAGATGCAAATTTAAGAAACCATTAAGGGTGAAATCAATCCTCATTCTTTTTCTTTATGTACCGTATCCCCTCAGGACGTAGGCGACCATAGCTCTCCACAATTTCCTGTCCTTTGTGGCACTTAAAAATATTCTTTATGTTATTTCTCCTAAACCTTGTTCTGCCATCCACCAAGTATGTTATGAGCTGTTTTCTCTGTCCATCTTACCCTCAATCTGTCCAGTGAGTTTCAGATTTTCCAAGCCTTCCTTCCTCCTTATATGCTCCAGAAATTTCAACTGTCTCTTCCTGATGTTAAATATAAGTTTCTTTTTTGTTTCCATTTAAACTTCGTCGTTGCTCACATGTTTAGTTCATGGTATCCTCAGCATCTTCCTATCGAAACATATTTCTGTTCCTTCAAGTCTGTTCCTCATCTTTGGGGAAATTATTCAGCATTTACTGACAGACAGATATCACTTAAGAGTTCAGTACCCTTTTCTTTGTTTCAAACGAATTTTTTAAAGTCTTTCTGATTAGTTTTTAGAATGCATTTTTGGCTTTCCCAATGCGTCTTCGGATTGCATTGTTGCACTTTCCGAACTCTGCTAGGATATTTCCAGATATTTAAATTTTTGTACTTGTTTGATTTGGTTAACTCCTATTTGTAATTTGCATTTTGGGCTAATCCTTTTTCTAACGACCATGCACTCTGTCTTCTTAGAGTTTATATTTAGTCCCTTCTTCTCGCTTTCTTTTACTACCTTCTGTAGTTTCCTTTCTGTGTCTTTCTACCTTGAGTGGCACTCATGCCTTGTATTGAGTAAATTTAGCACTAAAAAATTAACTGCTTAACACAGCATCTACTGATGGCCCATGAAGACACTGTATTGTTGTTAAGATTGTGGCCGCCAATAATGATTCCTGGTAAACGCTAAAATCTCTAATAAAGATAATGAAAAGAGAGAGAGAGAGAGAGAGAGATGTGAAAAAAAAGAAAACGGAAAGAAAATAAAAAGAAAAAAGTGGATAAAAGCGTTGGTTTGTGAATTGTATGATGCAGTGGTTGTGAGTTCAATCTCTAAGTCGGTATTTCCACTTAGTGGAAACTAAATAAAAATAAGAACTAGACGAAATATCTCTAGACACGGGCAGTGGAACGAGAACAGTCTACCTTCATAGATTAAATAAAAGGTTCAGAATTTCCTGTAGGTCACCAAGATTGATATAGATCTGAGGAAGGCCGGAAGGCACAGCGGCCGAAATGTTGTGATACCGACAACAAAATTGAGTACAATAGCCCGAATATAAACAGTGTAAATAATGATAAATCCTCATCGCAGAAATTCAGACAAAAAGAAAAAGAGGAGAAGAAAAAAGAAAGAGAAACGAAAAGGAAAGCGAAAAAAAAGTAGGAAATGAACAGAAAAGTCAGAAAGAGGGAGAATAAAGTTTAAAGATAAAGAAGAAAGAGAAAAGGATAGAAGAGAAGAATATCCAGCTAGGAGAAGTTTGAATAAAGGTAGAAAAAAAAAGTTAATTCAGACGTCACATGAAGATGACGATGATAGTGATGATAATGATGATGATGACGATGATAATGATGATGATGATGATGATAATGATGATGATGACGATGATAATGACGATGATGATGATGATGACGATGATAGTGATGATAATGATGATGATGATGACGATGATAATGATGATGATGACGATGATAATGATGATGATGACGATGATAATGATGATGATGACGATGATAATGATGATGATGACGATGATAATGATGATAGTGATGATAATGATGATGATGATGACGATGATAATGATGAACCAATGATAAATGATGATGACGATGATAATGATGATGATGCTGATGATGATCTAGAAGGAACCAATGAAAATAACCGATAATAACAATAAGAAAAAATACTGTTGGGTGTGTCAAATTTTGACATCCATTTTTGGATGAGATCTTGTTGATAAGATTCTCACGGTTACGAAAGGTCTTGCAAAGGCAAAGTTAAGCCGCGTAAAGAACGGCTGTATGATTAGTGTGTATGTGTGTGTGTGTGTGTGTGTGTTATGAGAACGGGCGTTTTATCTATCTATCTATCTATCTATCTATCTATCTATCTATCTATCTATCTACACAGATGTGTTTCTATGATGAGACCATCAGAAATAAAATTTTATACATACATATATATATATAAGATTAGCTTCGTTTTAGCACAAGGCCACAAGTATTGGTCACTCAGTTAGACTCAAACTCTCTGCTACGTTGGTTGAGTTCGTTTAGCACCAAATCTACCTCTAAGGGTTATTTAATGCCGAAAAAATATCTTGAACACAATATTATGGCTTCAACTGTATATATTTTGAACACAGTTGCATGCCTTCAAATACAGAAAATGTATTTTTAGTCATTTTGCTATAAATACATATTGTTGGTAATTTTATCATAAATATGTATTGGTAATTTTACAATAAATATGTGTTGTTAGTAATTTTATTATAAAATGTATTGTTGATAATTTTACTATAAATATGTATTGTTGGTATTTTTACTATAAATATATATTGTTGGTAATTTTTAATATAAAAATGTATTACTCGTATTTTTACAATAAAAATGTATTTTATACTGAAGAGGTGGTTCCACGATTCTCAAAACCTTCAGTCTCCCCATCAGGGACCTTGCCGCTGGATGTCGTTTATCGTCATACCCAAGTCTACCAACTCTATACTCAATATTTAATATTTTGCTTAATAATAATAAAAAAATAATTAAAATTAAATTATTTTTAAATAAAAATCTTTTGAAGCTGGAAGTTTCATTTTCATAGGACTATATCTACAATCCTTGACAGAAACTAATTTTACTGACAATCCTGCACGTGATTTTCCTGAAAGTATTCGGTTGAGTTATAATTAGCTTCCGTTATGAGGAACCAGCTGTAATGGCGTATATACTGTTTCGTAGATGTATCATAACAGGTGACACAAAAGGCAAGTGAATTAACAAGGATAAATCTTCACAAACGACTCCAAATCTGAGCTTCATGGAAGAAATGTTTTGCGTCCTACCTGTCCTGGTATTATTCATTTGTCGTTCTTAAAACGCAGCGAAACACTAAATGCATATTTATACGTCCAGGAGTTGCAACCTATCCATAAAAGTTTGGTCGAAAAAGCGTCCTGCGCTCGTCAATAGGAAAAATGTTATTCTCGATGACAATGCTAGGCCGCACACAGCAAGAAAAAAATTGGAACTCTGTTGGTCTGTTCTACTCTATCCCCTACATTTACTGAACCTGATAAGTGTTAAAAAGTGTTAATTTTCTTTATGGCAACGCAAGACCAAATACATCAAGGATAACACAAGACAAATTTTGGAACTCGGTTGGTCTGTTCTACCCCACCCACTATATTCAGTTTAGGTTGAGTCATAAATAATTTTCGTTTTGGCGAACCAATTGTCATGACGAATGAATCATCCCAAATAACCATTCCTTAAATATATCATAACAGGTGAGGAAAAATCGGTTACATACGACAATGTCGATCGCAAGTGGATTGACGAGGAAAAGGCTCCATATCTGACGTCAGAAGCTTGGCTCCATGGAAGAAAAGTCATATTCTGTTTGTGAATGATCAGAGTATTATTTCTTTAGATTTCTTAAAACGCAATGAAACACTAAATGCACATTTATCTATCCAGCAGCTGCAACGTGTCCATAAAAGTTTGATCTAAAAACACCTTGCGTTCGTCAATGGAAAAAAAAAAACTTTTCTTCCATGACAATGCGTGACAACATATCGCGATAACAACACAGGAAAACATTTTGAAACATGGTTGGTCTGTTTGACTCTCACCGCCAGATTCACCTGACCTTTCACCAAGCGATTATTACCATTTTTTAATAGCTGCCAAACGCTTTTATGGGAACATTTTTCTCTAATGAAAAGCAAATTCAAGAGTTTCTCGAAAACTTTTTCACATGAAAACCTGCGGAATTTTACTTAAAAGGTATCGAAGAGTTGCCTGATAAATGGCAAGAAGCCATTGTAAATAAATGTGTACATATATTTGAATAAATTTGTAAGTATACTTTATTTGTTGAGGTATAAAATTGATAAACGAAAACGGAAATTATTTAGGCCTCAGCCTAATATATATATATATATATATATATATATATATATATATATATATATATATATATATATGCAGATACCTTAGGGAATATCAATTTTCAAAATCAGATATTACACTTAAAATCAAGGCATCCAGTCAGAGCTTATGGAACATGCTAGACAATGCATATATGTCGCCTGGTGAGTTTATTGTTTTAACTGAATAGTCCTCCAATGGGAATGCTGCTAATAGTTTATATAAAGCAGTGTGTTATTTGTTTTTAATATACAGAAACACCGAAACAAACGATGTAGACATCACCTGTGTATAAACAGCAGTTACAGAGGCCATCTTATTTTGATAGCATCTAATTGCAATATGCTAAAAAGAATGTTTTATTGTTTAATGAATAACTTAGACATCTAAAAGGTTTTTTTGTTATAAAGTGTGGCATAAGGCTTGCTACACTCTCTCGCTATGAAATTTCTGGAAAAGTTTACACAATCATGAAGTCTTTTCTCACAGAAGAGCTACTACTTTTTTATCATTTCGCCACAAGCAAGGCGATAAACCACAAAGCCGTTAGGGGTTAGTGGGACGAATGGCTTGTACATCTGAAAAATCTGAAAAGGCTTTTTTTATAAGGTGTGGCATAAGGATTACTACACTCTCTTACTATGGAATTTCTGGAAGAGTTTACAGAATCATCAAATCTTTTCTCACAGAAGAACTGCTATTTTAAAAAAAAATTATTTCACCCCAAGCAAGGCGATAAAGCCACAAAGCCGTTAGTGGTTATTGGGAGTGAAAGAAACTGAGAAAACGTTATTGTGGAGAAAGGGTAATAAAAAGGAAAGATTCGATGAAACAGAAGATGAAGATTGACTTTTCATTTAAATTAAAGATCGAATTTGTCAAGAAAGCAATAAGCCAGAAGAGAGTACCATAAGCGATTATGGAACGGACAACTCTGTGTGTGTGTGTGTGTGTGTGTGTGTGTGCTCTCCCCAATCAAGTCATGGTTTAATTGTTACTTATCTTCCTTCCCTTACTACCATCTCCTCTTTCAGTAATATCACATACCTCATTCATTATTACCATTTTAACAATAAAACTCTACCTTGAGTGGTTCTCGTGCCTTGTATTGGGTAAAGTTAGTACTAAAAAATTAACTACGTAACACAACATCTACTGAAGGCCAATGAACGCACAGAATTAAACCCAACTAGAGTTAATCCATATGCGGTTCATTGAGTAGTCGCATTTGAATTTTTATAAGCACAAACACGAAAGTATGAGAGTGTGAGCGCTCAGTGTTTTATCACTATCAAAATATTTAATGCAAAATAATGAATAGCTCGATGTGTTAAATTAAGGCTTAGTATAAAATGTAAATATTTCGCGTCTGTTTTGAATTAAAAAAAAAATTATTCAAAACAGACGCGAAATATTTATATAGAAAACTGAACCCACCTCCCAAAACATAGAACTTTAAAAAATAAAATTTTGATGTTTCAGATCTAGAATGCTATAGTAATATATATATATATATATATATATATATATATATATATATGAAAAATAAATATTTTGGAGGGAAGAGGCCTTTCTCTAGAAATACCGGAAAATGATTTACTCTGACATGTTTCGGTGAATTTATCCGGCGTCATCTGAAAAAAGAATTATTTCACAAGAACAAAATTTACATTAGCGAAGAAAAACGTAATTTACGTAAAGCCATTGAACGCTTGATTTTTGCCTAATTGCTCTAGAAAATAAATTGTAATTTCAAGGTTTACATGTGCCACATTATTTAAGCACGAACTTAATAAGAAAAGGGAATAAATTTAAATATCCTTGTATTTTAATCATAAAGGACCTTATAACTCATAGCATGTTCAATAAATCGTCGTCTGAGCAAATTAATGTCTCATCAAAACGGCGTTTTCCAGATCAAAATTTTGTTCAAGAAGTTTTCTGTAGTACACATGCGCAGTGTGTATTTTACTTAATTTTTAGACAATTTTTATGTTCATATATTTCTTTAAATCTTGAGATATTTCGTCGATGTATTTTGTGGGTATTATTTAAAATTTGTTTAGTAGAAGCTACTTCCTGGTGTAAAAAATATCTTCTTGTTTTACATAGTTCAGTTGTTTTCGAAACCTTTTTGACAAATTTTATATTGAGATTACCTTAAATTTTTTTCAGATTCATTAGTTATGAAGACATTTGTTAATATGCTTAATTTTTTGTCAGTCTTTTATTTTTTCTTTTCGAGATTTCGTACGCTTTTCTTTTGGCATTGTATATAGAATAACTAGATAAATGGAGAATCTAAAAAGTTATTTTCAATGTATTTTTCTTCATCAGGTATATATTTGGGTTTCCAAATTCTAAGGCCTCTTTAATAAAGGACTATAATCCTTTTGGTTTTTACCTTATAATATAAGTAAAAAGTTTTGAGGTCGTTTTTGTTTGTCGACTTACGAAAACATTTCATTTTAAATTGGTATATCAACATGCATACGTACGTGCGTACACGTGAGATGTATGTGTGTATGGGGGTGCGTAGGAATATGGAATAAATACTTTAGAGTTGTGCGCACACATGTGAGAGAAAAGGAAGGATGGTATCAAGCGACACATAAATATAGGGTGTTCCAATAATTTGGACCGATTTTAAATGTGAATTAAGTTTAAGAGTCTAATGATTTTTTTCAAATTTATCAACTTAAGTATTCGGCAATTTCAACCATGGAAAGATTAACACTCAAACAACGTGTTAAAGTTATCGAAGCCTTCTGACCAGTTCACCCTGATGATCCCATGTGGTGAAACCTAGGTAGGTAGTACCTGGCTCACTAGGATTTATTATATATATATATATATATATATATATATATATATATATATATATATATATATATATATATATATATATATAATAAATCCTAATGAAAAAAAAATGCCCATGTATGGTCAACTTGACAATGGTCATCGAAACGTGGGTCGGCCTTTGCTTAGGTACAGGGACAAGCTGAAGAGTAACCTCTTAGTTGCGAATATAAATCACACTACCTTTGAGAACATCGTAATTGATCGCAATGAATGGAAGATTACATGCTACAATGGCATCAAGAACAAGGCAGCATCAAACATTGTCAAGCTTCATCAAACTAGGGAAAGGAATAACATATCTGCTGCTGTTCCAGCCATATACTCCAAGAATCCACACTCTTGCACAATCTGTGGACTTCTTTGCAAATCACTAGCGGGACTGAAGTGTCACTTGCGACTAACACACAAGGTTAAATAAACAAAGTTGTTAGAACCTCATACGTCCAAACCGACAGGAGAGTCCATCATCATCATCATCATCATCATATATATATATATATATATATATATATATATATATATATACATTTCATTAATTGATTATTTGATTTGTTTTTTTTTTTACGGCCTATCGAACCTGCGTGGGTTATTTAAAGTCGAACCATATTTTTGGTTGCAAGAATATAAATACTTATTTTGCGATTGAATACCATTTTGAATTCCTTGGTGGAGATAAGAATTATCTGTCAACGTAAAAATCTTACTATTTAACCATAGCTAGGAGAAAAGATGGATCCATAACTTTCCCAAAGGTATTTGCGAGTAAATGGATGTATGTTTCATAAAAGATGGCTAAGAAAGTACTTCTGTTAATTTTTTTGCATGTGAACAAGAAAAATATATCTTTTTTGCATACAAGAATAATAAAATAAAAAACCTTAACAGAAGTACCTAGTCAGTTATTTTTTTATGAAACATTTATTAGGGAAGTATTACTGCTCAAATACACAACTAATTGAAAAAGGTAGGTATATATATATAAACAGAAAGTCATATATATTGGGCGGTAGATACAATATATTAAAAACAGTAATATAAGTGAATGTATGCACAACGGTGGGTTGTCAAATGAAGGCAAAGAGACCGACTTTCATTCAGACACTCGTGTAACTGAAGCTTTGTGTTTGCCAGGTTTTCTCACTCTTCCGAATTATTCACAAGACCACTCACTATATATTATATACACGTTCTGCTTTTTTTTTTTTATCATCGTCTTTTTTGTTTCCTCTTGAAGTCTATTTCGTCTACTACCAGTGGCGTCTTTGCCAAAGCCAACAGAATAGACAGGAAGCCGCGCCACCCAGCGGTCAACGGAGATATTAATTTCAAAGAATATCCTGATCCAAGTCAGAATAATGAAGAAAAATTGTGGCTTGTATACAACTATAATTATTTTCCTCCTTCTTCAAAAGTACTTTTCGTATATTTTTTTGCCTTTACCTTAGAGCTAAATATACATTTCTCTGTTTCTGTCGCTGGTTGTAAATAGGAATAAAACAGTCTTATTTTTATCTATTCATCAAATCAAAACAGTACAATGAAATTGTAACGACCCATATCAATGTCAGTGCGTCAGAAAATTGTGATTGCTTCTTACGATAACATTAGCGAGACTGTGAAGTTCTGTTTTGAAAAGCATTAAAATTTCCCTCGAGAGATTTAAGAATTTTTCTGTAAAAAAAAAAAATCTTTGATTGATTCGTTTTCTACGGCTTATCAACCCTTCGCATGTTATTTAAAGCCAGAAAATATTTTTAGATTGTAAGAATTTTTAAAGATAATAATGATTTACTTATACAAGTCATACTAATTAACTTATAGTTGGGGAGAAGAGGTGGATTCATGCCTTTTCCTTTGCGGGTAGATGAATATAACAAACCCGACTGGTATTGCAACTCGGATCTTCGATTCCCAATTCCAAGGCGTTATCCTCTAGACGACATGCGCATTCAAGTTTGCAACACCTGGTATTCCCAAGCAATCACCCATCTAGATACTGACCAGGCTCGACGTTGCTTAACTTTGATGATCGTACAAGAAACGGTGTTTCAACGTGATATCGCTGTAAGCCACACAAATTGTGGATATTGAAGAAGAGTATTACTTTTAGCGATTTGCTGATATAAGTCTTACTAATTAATCCATAGATGGAGAGGAGAAGAGGTGGATTCATAACTTTTGTAAATGTATTTGCGTGTAAGTGAATATAACGAACTTTACTGGAATCGAAACTCGTCTCTTTGATTTCCAATTCCGAGTCGTTATCTTTTATACTACCCGCACATGCAAGCTTACAACATCTAGTATTTCTAAGCGGTTACCCATCTCGCTGGTGACCAGGCCAGACGTTGCTTAACTTCGGTTGATCGTACGAATTCAACGTTATATGGCCTAAGCCACATAAATTATTATTATTTTTTGTATATTTAGATTGTAAGAATATTTTTTTTATTTTGTGTGCGGAGATAGATAATAATGGTAAACCTTAGGCATACAAGTCTTACTAATTAAGACATAGCATATCTTTCCGAAGGGTATTTGCACATAAGTGAATATAAAAAAAAAAAAAAACCCAACGGGAAATGGAACTGGGGTGTCCGATTAACAGTTCCGAGTCATTATCCATTGCACCATCAACACATCTCAGTTTATAGCACCTAGTATTCTCAAGCGATCACCCATCTTGATACTGATCAAACAACGTTTTTGCTAAATATAAAATGCAGTTAGATGGTAAGTTTTCTCTGGTATTTTTTTCTATAATAATTGAGGCAGTGTGGAGTAATGTATAGCGGCGCGGTTTGAGGAATGGGAGAGCCGAGTTCGAATTCCCGTCTGATCCATTACATTCATTTACATGCTAATACTCTTAGGTATGAATCCTATTCTCCCCCACCTAGCTATGTGTAAATAGCAGGACAAACTGGGTTCTTTAGCCTTGAGTGGCAACCGGTCAAGCAGAAAGAAACTCTGAATTCAAAACTGTATGTAAACCTGGCGTAGCACATATTATACAGCTAAGGAAAAGATCGTTCGGGTTGGTTTGATGATCCCGACTAAGCTCAACCTGGATGGATGATGGATTTTCTATAAATATTTGTATGGTAATTGTTCTGATGAGCTTTCCACTTTATCAATACTAGATTGGCGGTAAGGTCTCATCATTTTACTGTTGAAATGGCCTCTTAGTGGCTTTATTTGCGTTGCTTTATAGCCTTGATTTAAAGGCTTAAAATATCTATATAATGCTGATAAAATATTGATTTTCATTAATCAGAGCTATTCATTTTAATTTGATTAAACCAGAATTTTGGAGTAGATTTTTTTAAGATTTGAGATTTCTGTTGATCTATCTATCTATCTATCTATCTATCTATCTATCTATCTATTTTTTTACAGTCTAACCAATGTTAACATTACTCCGTAAATATGTTATACCTCTTTACTATATTAATTTTTCAATTTAGCATTTCAAATATCACTGTGACGCTGACTATATAGGTAGAACAGATTAGAGGCTGGAATTAGGAATAAGTTAACAGCTACTGTTCGAAATGGAAATTGCGATAATTTACATTGGTGCGGATCGGAGGTAGTTGAGTATTTGTTACAAAACCATCAGTGTAGCCAAGCCACGTTCTCGGTTCTGATGATGGCAACACTTAAAATTTCACCTAAAGGTCTTAGAGATTATATATATATATATATATATATATATATATATTAAATCTTTCCAGCCCTTCTTCTGTACGCGGAAAGAGTGGCATTTAGGTTTGAATGTTATCAGCCTTTGGTAATTATCTATTTAATAGATATAACATCTTGTCTTGACGTTTTGCCATTTTATTCGATGCGCACATTTTTCGGTGCTTTTCGACATATCAACAACTTATGGGTCATTTAAAGCCAAAATTTAAATTTTGGGGGAGAATTAGTAATTTCATTTACAAAAATGTATTCTTGGTAATTTTTGTTTTTACAAAATGTATTACCGGTAATATTTTACTATGAAAATGTATTACTGGTATTTTTATTATAAAAAATTTTTTTTACACTTTCATAGTGCTTTGACCCCAATTTGAGGGTTAACTATTTGCCCATAGCTGGCACCCTAACAAGTGCAAACAACCCAGTTCAGGGTGGACCTGGAACAACAGCAATTAAGAGGTGGATCCACGCCCCTTAAAACATCCCGTTCAGCGGCCTTGCTACCGGATGTAGTTTGGCGTCATACCCAGGACGGTTTTTCGGTACTCGATAGATCTTTGAAGAGAGAGAAACCATTTTTTTTAATCTCTTTTGAAATTTTCAAGTTACCTGTTTACAGTAACAGTAAGATTATTCTTTCCTGGTGGTTGATTATAATATGCCCGTGTTTATCGCAGTTATTGCATTTTGTATCCCTAGTAAAATAATCTATCTATCTATCTATCTATCTATCTATCTATGTGTTTTTATGCTGAGACTATCAAAAATGATATTTTCTAGGAATTTACTAAAAAAGCTTCCTCGCTGTTCACATGGTCAGTCTCTGTTATTCTCAGCAACCTTCTGGAGAACCACATCACTATTTTTTTTAAGTCCCCTCATCTGTGAGGAAATTGTGCAGCATTCACTGCCATAGCAAGGAAGCGCTGCTTCTAGCGAAATTTTCCTCTTTCTGAATACTTCGTTTAGCTTTTGGAAGGCATCTTTCGTTATTCCAATTTGTTTTCAGATTTCGGTGTCACACTTTTCATCAAATTGATGTGAATAAAAATATCAATGCGTATTTATAATTTGTGTGATGTTATCTTTTCTCTGTTCATAATTGGAAATATAGAAGCCAAGATATATGAAAGACAGTGCTGAAATGTTCTAGTCTTGACTCTTCCCAAAATCTGAACACATGACCGAAAATTAGAATTGAATTTTTCAATGGCCTCATGGTCGACCCCATAATTTTTGAGCATCCTTTCGCAGTGCACTTTTATAAGGCAATCGGGTTTAATACGTATATGCTGGGGTTTATGGAGTTTAAGGCCATTTGTGAGGGACAAGGCTAAATCGTTCAACGTGTGACTAAAACGTCCTGAAACAACAGTGGAAAATCTGTGTGTGTGAGTGTGTATGTGTGTGTGCGTGTGTGTGTGTGTGTAAGAGAGAGAGAGAGAGAGAGAGAAAGGAAGAGAGGGAGCAATGTGTATATATATATATATATATATATAGACAGAGAGAGATAGAGAGAGAGAGAGAGAGACATAGTGAGAGATGTATAGAGAGAGATAAAGAGAGATAGATAGGGGTATTAAACGATTCAAATCCAGGTACTCCATCCGGCTTTTAAACCGGATATCCGACTTCCGTTTTAAAGTACAGAGCTAAGACCAAGCTATTTGTTTCTTTTACTTTTTGTCAATAAAACTAAAATGAAAAGACACATAATATTTAAAAAATAATGTTCATTTGATTTAATAATAACTAAGTCTGCCAAAGGGCCAATATATTGCGTAGCACGTAATAATTTATCATTATCAGTAAATAGTGAACCTTTGAATAATACGGCTACTTCAACCTTAAAAATGATGATGCTATTCATTAGCTTATATTCGTGTTGTTTTCATAAAATCTTTAATTAAAATTTAAATGTCTATTAATCCATATTGTCTTGGCGTTAGTTTAAAATGACGCCATCTTTTTTTATCTAATTATAAACTATTATTTTGAAAAGTGAATATTTCACTGAAATATGTTGAAATTTTCCAAATTTCATTTGAAATAATAATAAAAACAACTTTAAGTAAAATGATCACAAGGTGTCATTTTAAATTGCTGCCAGAAGGTTATGGGTCAAAATTTTAAAAATGTATTTCCATTTCTAACAGAAAAAAAATCTCGATTTTTGATTGCAATAAAGAAAACCAAATTTTAATAAATATATCGTAGAATTGGACTGTTATAAAGTCAGGGTTTATTTTAAGCGGCAGTATTTTATTATACTTTATTTGCCCATTGATGAAAGAGAAGACGAAACTTCTTCCCCTAAGAAATATATTTGACTAAGGCGGTCAGAAAAAAAAAAATGAGATGAAAATTCTTTTTGCTTTACTAACTTTTATTGATTATCTTTTCCCATCAGAAATAAAGTACAATGGAAACTTTAAGCAAAATAACAGTATGTGGAAATATTAATACTACTGCTACTACTACTATTAATAATAAAACATTGACGTATTCGAGATTATAGGGTCATTGTGATATCCATGATCTTGTCTATGACTGCACAGCATGTGTTACGCGAGGGCTACATAGCATTTTGAATTCAGAGTTGTCCTTATCCTAGACCAGTGATTCCCAAACGTTGCGGTACGTCTCATAGGTGTGTCGGAAGAAGATAGCAGGTGAGGCGGAATGATTGAAAGACAAAGATTTAGAAACAGTTTCATAAAAATTCATATGCCAAAAAATTAATATGATTTCAAAATTTAAAATATTATTATGGATGACTTGTAATTGCCTGCATGAGTCCCAATATAAATAGTTATGAATAATTATTGACCGATTTTATCACTGTGATATTTTTGCATTATATCAAGTATTAAGAATATAATAAATAGGGCCCGCAAATTAGAGGAGAAAGTTATCAATGATAATGTTCTGACTTCGAATCCACGATTATCTCCCTTTAACCCTCTTTTTTTTTTTAATTTTTAAATGTACTTTTATCACATCAAATTTGGTGAGGTGCGACCAAATTTCCATTCTGAAAATGCGTCACAGAGAAAAAAATGTTTGGGGACCACTGTCCTTGACTGATTGCCACCCAAGGCTAAAGAACCCAATCAGCCCACACCATTTAACTCATAGCTGACAGAAGAAGAGATGGATTCATAACTTTCCCAATGATATTTGTACGAAAGTGATTGTAACGCAGCTCAACTGAAATTCAAACTCCCCAGGAGGCTATGGGTTAAATTTGAACACAAGCCGAAAGTACTCAATGAAATTCATAATTATGAAATTATCAGATACATGCACACAAATTATAAATAGGCGTGGATATTTTTATTTACAATTACGTAAGTGTGTTATATATGCTAACTGCTATACTATGCGTTATATATACGTAATTCGGGGTGAGACAATGAAATCAGGCATGGCTGATCATATATTGAAAGAAAAGCATAGATATCAATCTTTGTGAAATTAAGAAAAATACTGGACAAAGAGGAACATTGGTGAGTTAGACGTCTAAAAGAATCAGCATATATGCTAGGCCATGAAGACTTCCTTAGTAGGCCTAGCATAGAAATAAATACGGTAAGAGAGAAAATGAGAGCAATGCTTCATTGCCATAGGCAGCTGCAATAAAAAGTGGAGCTGCGGTGGCTAAAGTCAAGCATGGCGAGCAGCAACAGCAGCAACAGAACTCGTCAGGAAGCGGGTTAGGTTTAAAAGTTCAAGTTGTCCACTCAGAATTGTCCCACGGGACATATAGCCTACTGAATTAAAGAATTGGTTCGTGAACTGTGATATAGTAGTTGCGAGTTCCGTCATTATCATCATCACCCGCAATCATCATCATCATCATGGTGATGAAGACGAATATAATAGGAGTCAGTTAATCGCTGTCTGAATTTCTGGAATAAAGAGTTATCATTATTTACATTAAGTACGTTCCGTAGTTCCACCAGTTCGGATATTTTCAGCTAAGACAGGCCACAGGGGTGAACCATCCTCACTCACTTCATATTTCATTAGTAAGAAGGAAGTTCCATTCGGTCAGCTTCTTCCCAAGAACTTCTATTTCATGGAACAAACACCTGAGAGGATGCTTCTCCGAACAATAAAATCTTAATCTTCATAATATGTCCTGACTTCTACTTACGCCCATACAACAATCTTATTTGGTTACCCTCTAGCGTGAGTGGCTCTTTGGGCTTTGTATTGGGTGAATATGTTGGGCATCGTCCAGATTTCCTTCTTTCTGTTTTGTATGACAAAGCAATTTCGAGACAAGACCTTGGAATTGAACTTTAAAACTTCCGCTCATTAATGCCTGTAGATTTCTATTAAGTGTCAGATTTTTTATGGTTATTTTCTTTGCATTGGCTTTAAAAATCCTCTTATTTTATTTTAAAGTCGCTTCTATTACGCACGATCAAACGACTGCTGTTCTCGATTTAGAGTCCACTTTATTATCTGCTTAATGTTCATTTAATGTGACAATATTGAACGTGCGTGCCCTCGACCGGATGTCATTTCTGACATTCACTTTTATGCTTCGAGTGACGCGCATATAACTATTGCCCGATTATTGTTGATTCTGATTGACATTACAGTGGAACCTCAGTTCACGAATTTAATTCGAAGGCTGTTCGTAACCTGAAATGTTCGTAAACCGAAACTATTTTTCCAATAGGAATCAATGTAGAGAAAAAAAAAAAAAGAAAAGCACGGCACAATACACGAATATATACAACACAGCGGTCGGCTCAAAAATCATTTCGTTCGGGTTAACTCGGTTAGGCAATGTTGTTCGAGAACCGAAATTTTGTTCGAAAACCGAGGCATTTTCCTCTCAAATCTTCTGTTCGAAAGCCAATTTGTTCGACACGCAAGACGTTCGAGAACCGAGGTTCTTCTGTAATGCATTATTGTCATATCTGGGCTGGAACTGCTCTATTCTCACTTTCCAGCCTTGACATTTACCTAGAATTGTGAGGAATGACTTATTTTCCACCCTGCAGACTCTTTCCGCACATATGAAATGTCGCAAGCTTTTCACTATTCTATCACTATTACTATGGCAAATGTTTCAACGAATTCCATTCTTTAGCACCACTGGCTCAGTTGAATCACCTCCATTTCTTACCTATTCCTTCGGAAAGAAGTGATTTCTACTGCGAATGCTACTTTGTGGAACAGACTCCTGCGTGGATACTTCCAAGAACATTACAATATATACAACACAGCGGTCAGCTCAGAAATTATTCCGTTCGGGTTAACTTGGTTAGGCAATGTTATTCGAGAACCGAAATTTTGTTCGATAATCAAGGCATTTTCATCTCGAATGTTCTGTTCGAAAACCGATTTGTTCTAGAGCCGAGGTTTTACTGTATTTGTTGCCATTATCACAAATTTCCCGTTGGACACTCTGGACTTCTGGTCTCTGTCGACAATAGTCTATTGCTCCGTTAATTTGGTGGCATGGTAATTGCGAGTTCAATTCCTGCGCCGCGTAGTACAGACATAGACTCGATAGAAACAGGACGAGCAATAACTGAGCAGTACTAAATAAGAACAAGACGAGAGATCGCTAAACATGGGAAACGGAAGGAGAACTATCTACCCCAATAATTAAGTAAAGGGCGAGAAATAATCGTGTAGTACTAAATAAGAACAACACGAGATATCCCTAAACATGGACAACGGAAAGAGAACAATCTATTCCCGTAGATTGAATAAAAAGTTCAGTTCGGAATTCTTTGACGGTTGCCCGGACCGACAGATACCTGAAGAAGGTCGGAGGGCACATCTGTCGAAACGTTGTGATGATGGTAACAAAAATAAGGGCATCAATTCGAATGTACATAATGTAAATAAGGGTAAATCGTGTTACGCAAAATTCAAACAGAAATTAGCGGACTTTTATTATATTCAACTTCATCACGATAATGATAATGATGATAGACGTGTGCCATTGATTTGACATGTCGACCCGCGTTGGGTTATTAAATGTCGAATTTTGAAAGGTCACCCAGTAAGTATCGAACTCATTACTCAATAGAAATAGTCAAGCAGACAATCCTCGCTATCTATTAGTGCACACTGAGGCAGCTTAAGCTTAAACTGCGCTCAGTGAGTTGGCATTATGTATAGGAGAACGATTATTGAAGCCAGCTTGTTACGTGAGGACTGCGAGATATAATCTATCTATCTATCTATCTATCTATCTATCTATCTATCTATCTATCTATCTATCTATCTATCTGTGTGTTTGTGTGTGTGTGTGTACTAAAAATATATATATAACTACTAAAGAAAAAGCAACTATGTTGGCGTGACGAACAGACAACTTAACAGAAGACTTAACACCCTAGACCAGAAAAAAATCCCGGACAAGGAAAGAAAAAAGAAAGATCAAAAGGCAAACACCTACTTACTCAGTAAATTGCTCAACGCTCAGATTATCTAGAAAGAGCAAAAACGCTTCACATCAACATTTAATAAAGGACAGTCCGAGTCATTACTCGAGTTTCACACTATCGCGATCTTCAAACGTCTAGAAAGCAACTACTATACTTCTGTTATACTAGATCATACCTATTCTATTGTAAATAGACTCTCCCACAAATAATAAGTAGTAGTAGTAGCAGTCGCCAGAGGGCAGAGTGAGTTGAGTGAGTCAGTCGATGTCGGACATGGAAGTATCAACCAGCACAACTAGATTGCTGCGTCATTAACTATTATTTTTTAAGTTCCTAATGTTTTGTACGTTGAACCTAATTTAGGACCGACTTAGTGAAATACAAGCCTCCACTGTGAAAACTACTTTACAACAACTTCAAACGTTAATTTCATTGGCTAACCATATTTGAGTAGACGCACAGTTTTTTTTTTATTTATTTAAAACAGTATTAATTTCATCTATCAGTCTGCACAATCGAGAAAACTTATTAAAGAAAATGTGCGTCTCACTAGTTTCTCCGGCAAAGGAAGACACATGTTCGAATCATACCGGAGAGCACATTCTATTTTGCAACAAGTATTATAAACAGAAGTAAAAATGTTAGTTTTTCAAAATTTTATCGGCGCAGATAAGTTTTCCTCCTTTATATATATATATATATATATATATATATATATATATATATATATATATATATATATATATACACAAAGGTAGAAAGACAATTGGAAACCTGTATAGCTTCAGCAGACGTGTTTCGTTCATTGTGGTCATTTTCAAGGTAAAAACGAAATGAATTTATCGAAACAATGTATTTATAAACAACAAACAAAATGTCATTAGCAACTAGAAGAATTTCGAAACGCTATTGTATATTCACATGGTAAACTGAAAAATTACTTTATTTTTGAAGAGAATATTTTCACATGTAGTTTTCCTATTGTCTTGTTTTCCTTTATACATATTGTCTTTTTCTACAGGTTACTTCTGAGAATTTTTTTACACACACACACACACATATATATATGTATTTGCTTATATATATCTATATATATATTTTATTTATTCAGGAGAAAGGTATGAATATAGAAAAAATTTCGTGCGACGTGTTTTACCGTTTAGAACTTTATCGGACTAAATTTATATTTCCGTTGATGAGACTACGTATACGCATGAAGGAAAGCGGGGAACCTGGGAATTTTTCATTTTAATTTTTTTAAATATATATTTGTCTGATAAAAAAGACAGCGAGAGAGACCGAGAGAGAGAGAGAGAGAGAGAGACCGAGAGAGAGAGGGATAGAGGCTGCCTTAAAAATGGCATTTAAGTGTGAATAACTTTCAGCATAGATTTGTTTCATAATACTTGTAAAATCTGTCATAAGTAATCATTACACGTGCAAAACAATGATGTTTGAGAACACTTCTCAAAACCGATAAAACCATTAGCACAAACTATTATCATCACTATCACAATCGCTACCACTACTACTTTTACAACAACAACAACAGTAACAATAATAATAAATGACGTGATCCTACAACAGGGATCTCATGACTTCTGATCTTGATTGGAAGTCTTAGCAAGTGCATATTTTGTCATGGTGAATTAAGATAGCATACAATAGATACCCTATCCAGTTCCACATATTTGCTTGTAGGTTTCCAGACATTAACCAGTTAGGCGTGTTCCCTAGAGGCCGGCGTACTGTGTATCTTTATTCCTGGGAGTAGTGTAGGAGCATCATGGCCAGCTGTTGAGAGTTTTTTTTTCAAGTTTGAATTATAGTTAGCCAAGTTGGCTTGTGAGCCACAGCTAGATACTTGGGAATCGGACCGGGTTACCTGACCTGAAAGTATTTTTAACTGGAGTCCAACTCTAAGATGATCCGCTGCTTTTTAACAAAATCTGTTACCATATAGCGCACATTTAGCTGTGATGTATGCTTTTTTAAAGTTCGAAGAATAAGGCAGTCAAGGCGCCTTGGGAGTCGCAACTAGACTGTTGGGAATAACATCAATCGGAGACTGTCTGATCAAACTGAGTTACCCAAACACAAGCTATTTCTAACTGAGCTCACCTGCCAGGTTATGTCCTGCTTTTTTCAAAATCTGTCACCGTATCACGCACACTTAGCTGTGATGCATGTGCCGGATATACCGTTATCAGACCGGGTGACATGATCGATATATGGAGATTGTTATGTTTATACTATAGCGTCACTTTGGCGGGGTGCTGCTCTCACGCTCATTGTAATAATAATAATAATAATAATAATAATATATAGCCAAATCCCTGTCTTACGAACATTTCTCTTAATAGTCATTTAAGATAATTCAGCAGACGATGTTATTTTATTTATGGTAATTGGATTTTTGGCGATTACCTTAATCGATTTGCGTAATTTTTCAGATGCCAAATGTCGTGCATCTGAAAAATGATGCTTTTATCAAGGTTGCTATTTCTCGGACTTTAGGCTAAGATCAAAGTGTAGTGTCTGTTCTTATCAATGAAAATTGGCATGGCGTCGTTCGAACTAACGTAGAAAGGGCCAGCAGAATTATAATAGTAGGATAATAACAATGATAATAATAATAGTGACAGTAAAGGATATGGCTTCTGGTCTTCTGGTGTCAAAGAAGCAAAACCCTCTTTCGATGTGAGTCTGATGTTCCTTCCACTTCAATTGGGTGTGCTCAAAAGCTGTTACAGATTCACTTGTCCACACAGACGCAATGCCTGTTGGTTCCTGCCATCTAGGACAATTTCTTCACAAGACAAGTGTTTACATGTGTTCTTTCAGCTCCGCCGCACTTTTTTTCATGTCTTTTCTTCTTAGCGTTATTTAACAATTTTAGATCCTCCCACATTCCTTCGATGCTGTTCGTTGTATTTGCCTTCTTTTTTTTTTTTACGTTTTTTTATTTCATCCACCCTCTCAAATCATTTCCATTTAATCAGTTTCTGTTGTTCTTTAATTCTTTCATTTTATTCTTTCTTTACTTTACTGTTCTTTCTTTGTATATCCTTATTCCATTTCTTTTTTCTTAGCATCCTCTTTCTTTCTTTCTTTCTTTCTTTCTTTTTTTCTTGCTTTTTAATTCTTCTCTGTCTCTCTCCTTCCTTCTCCCACTTCTTTTGTTAAACCTTTATTCACTTTCCCTTTTGCAACACATCCTAATTCTTATTCTTTCTTTCTTTCTTTCTTTCTTTCTTTCTTTCTTTCTTTCTTTCTTTCTACTTCCCTTCCTTTTGCTAAGTCTTCACTCTTTGTTTTTTTGCCACAGATAATAATTCTTTGTTTGTTTGTTTGTTTGTTTGTTTGTTTCTTTCTTTCTTTTTCTTTCTTTCTAATTTTTCTCTATCTTTATCCTTCATTCTCTCCCTTCTTTTGTTAAGCCTTTATAGTTTTCCCTTTTTGCAACACATCCTCATTCTTTAGTCTCTATCCATATTCATTCTTTCTTTTCTGTACCTATCCTTCTTTCTTTTCTTCCTTTTGTTAAGCCATTATTTATTTTTGGCAACAGATTCTAATTCCTTTTCTTTCTTTCCTTGTTTCTTTCTTTCTTTCTTTCTTTCTTTCTTTCTTTCTTTCTTTCTTTCTTTCTTTCTTTCTTTCCACATTACGTTCTCTACTCTTATATCCTTTTCTTCTTTTTCTTTTCCATTTATTTACTTCCACTTAACTTTTGCTCGTTCTTTTCTCACATTCAGCCCCTCAAAAACAAACCTTATCTCAATTTTTGTCGATTCAAACTCTTTTGGAGTCAGCCTAGCATTTCAGATAGCTATCAGTTAGCGTTCATCTAAATCTGCTCTGAAACGTAGTAATTTTTACTCATTTACTTACTTTCTCGCTCATATTTAAGTTCTTATCAATTAAAAACTCCAAAAGAAACATAAAAACGATTGTACTGATTAAAGCATTTTCATTTTTTGTTCTATTATTATAAATTACTTTAAATACGGAAACTATTAAGGTCAAACACTTTATAACCCATACTTTTTTGATTAATAATTGTGTTGAACAAACATTTCTGAATCTAAGAGAAGAAAGATTATTTTTATACGGCCTAAATATTATTGGGAATTTACAATTTAATTATTATTATATCCGGTTAAAAATATTGCTGTCTCAAATTGTACCACATCAACTAAAAAGTATAAGTTATTTTTTACAGAGTAAATAAAAAGAAGTCATGATATCATTACACAGCTTATGATATATTGGCCGAAGTATGACTATTTTTAATGAGTCACCTTCGTCTGCAGTAGTTCTCGGCAAATAGGGGTATAGTGTGCCGGATGGTGTAAAATCGAAATTATTTTAACTGTCAGTATGTTAGGCACAGAAACTAAATGTTAACTGTCCTCTTGGAGGCAGGGTGGGGTGTCTTAGAATACGCCAACTGCATCGTACATAATGGAGCAGCCTTGCTGATAGATACTTTCAGAGTCGATTATTTAATGTTCATCTGATCCATGACTACATTTTTATCCCCAGTGTAAATCGGAATCTATGCCTGCCTTTTTTAATCTAGCGTGAACCGGTCTACATTTTTGCCTCTCGTGTAAACCGGCCCTATGTCTATCTTTTTTTACTGTAGTATAAATTGGAACCCATGTCTATCTTTTTTTTTTTTAACCTAGTGTCAACTGGAACGCATTTCTACCTTTTTTTTAATCTAGTGTAAACTAGACTTATGTCTACCTTATTGAATCTCGTGTAAACCGGACCTATGTCTACATTTTCGCCTCTCGTTGTAAACCGGAATTATGTCTACCTTTTTTTTTTTTACTGTAGTATAAACCAGTCCTGTTTGTAAATGAGTTGAAGTTTGTGTATATATTAATGTACATCGTTAAGCGAATCTCACTATCTTTAACTGAAGACTGAGATTTTGGTCATGGTTTGATGAAAGTTTTCTCAGAAAGTGGACCAGGCGTCATGGTCCAGTTGAGTGGCCGTCACGCTTCCTATAACTCATACCTCCATATTTCTTTCTTTGTTTATATTAAAAATCTTGTACCATTTTCAAATTGATCGATGGAGGCTCAGATCACTGCAAATGTTGAGGAACTTGATATTGAACTCTGCAGGTTACTCTGTGACTGCTCGGATGCAATTGCGCATTCATCCCGAAGGGAACATACTATGAACTTAACAAGAAAAAAAAAACAGCTTGATAAAATTTCTTAACAATAAATGGTTAGATGAAAATGTCTTTCACTGATTTCCACCTTATTGTACACTGTAACCATCTTCATCTATGTACCGTATACCTTCAGGACATGGGCGATCATGGTTATTCGAAACCATCTTATTCTTTGTAGCTCTTAGTAAAATTTGTCTTTTCGCCATTCCTCCCACTCCTTCCTCGGTCATCCATTTACACAAGCTTGTTAGGTAGTTTACACGCTGCTTTACTCTCCCCCTATTGCTTTCAATATGTCTAGTGAGTATCAAATTCTCCAAGCCTTCATTCCTCATTATGTGTCCTAGAAATTTCAACTGTTTTTTTTTCTGATTCTAAGTATAAGTGTCATTTTTATATACAAAGAAATAATCACACATAGAATCAATCAGCAATATTAATGCTATTATTGGCGACATCTATCGCTAGTAGTGTATAATGTATGCATTAAAATACTGTTAATATTGTTAGTTTTATGTTTATAATTAACAGTATTTTAAAGCATACATTATACACTACTAGCGATGGATGTCGCCAATAATAGCATTGATATTGCTGATTGATTCTATGTGTGATTATTTCTTTGTATATAAATCATATGCTGCCTAATGTTTTGTGTCATTTTTTGTTTACATTTTCCTTAAAACATCGTCGTTAGTTACATTATTCAGTTCATTGTATCCTCAGCATCTTTCTGTAGAACCACTTTTCTGTTGCCTCAAGCCTCTTCTTCATCAGTGAGGCGATTTCCCACAATTTACTATCATAGAAGAGAACCGATATTACATAATATTTTAGATCTCTTTTCTTTATTTTTAACGATATTTTCCTGTTTCTCAATACTTTGATTGGCTTTTGGAAGGCATCTTACACTATTTCAGGTTAATACAAATGGTAAACAAATAACCAATTGACAGCTGTAAAAACAGAAATCATGCGCTACTTTTCCCTTTGTATGTTATATATTATTATTAGAAGATTCGCGCCGTCAAAAATGGCGCAATTGTTGGAAAATTTTAATATTCAGATGCAATGAAACAAAAGATTTGAAACGATATATTGAGATTCAATAAAGCACAGATCTAAAATTCGCAACTAAAATAGAGGCTAATGGACACTTTAATTAATCACTTTATATTTTTTAGACGTTCAATGGTATCTATGATTCATTGGTTACTTCTGGTATTATATGAATCACCTTTTGTTCCATATCTTTCCATGTTAAAAACTTTATTTGTTTAATATAATAGTGACACGAAATATAAACATCTCACGAAAAACAATATTAGCAACCAAACGACATAGACGCCCACGACAAAGCCAATATCAAGACCAAATTGAAGCAAGACAATCACTTAGAGAAAGGTAGCTGAGTACCTCAAAAGAAAGGCTTGAACAAATAAGACTGCAGTCTAAGAAAAATAGTATTAAGGGAACGGATTAATTCATTTTGATTGGGAACTAATTTTGTCTCATTAAAGATAAATATTTTGTCTATAGATTATTAGAATGACTAAAGAAGTAACCATTCATAAATTTACTATTTTAAGTTTATTTGACTCCCTTTTCACTAGAGAGCGTGGCATGAAAGCCATAAATTAATACACAACGGTAATTATTATATAGTAGATTATATATACTCGGAAAGTATTTTAGGTATTTTAATCTCCTTATAGTTGTAGATCTTGAGGAAAATAGAATAAAGATAAAAGAGGTTATATGTTATGTTAATATCGTCACCGGAGTAAGTGGTTGCGTTATCAGAATAAATACCAAGTTGAGAGCTGATGCCACCGGGGTGGTCGTAATGAAAATTATGAATAAAGTAGGACTAAAGATAGGGCCCTGGGGATACCTGCATTAGTACAAAATGATCTAGAGGAGTGGCCGTTCAGGATTCATTTCACGATTCGATAAGAAAGACTAGATCAGTTCAAAAATTTGACTGGAGACACCATTACTTTTCAACTTATGAAGAAGACCTGTATACCAAAGCTTTCGAGATGACCAAAGCAACAACTCGAGCTTTACCATTCTTATCTATGCCATGATAACTTCTTTCAGTAATTATCGCCAGTAGTTGACCTAGAGAAACGAAAGCCATATTGCTTGTCTGAAAGAACACTCCACGATGTGAGATGCTTAACCAATTCAGTAGTTTCCCCCAAAAGAGGTCAAAGGCTAATAGGCCGATAGTTGGAAGGGTCGGACGGTTCACCTGAGTTCCTAAAGATGAGGATTTCCAACACGCAGACAAGCAAGAGGCAGCGAGGCACTTATTATACAGTTTAGACATAGGCTTGAAGACTATGAAAGTATGCTTTAAAATAGTTTCTGGTTCATAAATAGTGCATAAAAAGTTAATTTGAAATAAAATCAGTTTTAGACATCAAAATCATATACTTGAATCTAATTAAAAGCTAATAGAATGTAATGAAAACGTTATTTGGCATTACGTTATCCTTATATAAGTGCCAAAACACAAATGTCAATATACCATAAAATCATGTTGATAATAATAACGAAGTATTTGGGTCAGGAATTAATACTGTTACATTTATATAGCGATCAAGATGCCATAAAACTATACTAGATCGTTTGCAATAAAATATGTCAGAAAGAACAGCTGGAACTGTTAGGAAACTATGATATATTTGGGAAGGATATTAGAATAACCGAGAACCTAGACTGGGATCAAACATATAGATAGAAAAGGCATTCAGCAAATATAAAGAAATAGAAAGGAATTTAAGACAAGGATGTGTCTTCTCAACGGACTTTTTCAACCTATATAGTGAAGCGAAGTCAGTATTTATTATTGGTGGCCACAATCTTAACATCATAAGATATTCAGATGACACTGTGTTGATAGAGGAGACAGAAAGGTAACTACAAGAACTCCTTCAGGGGGTAGTGAAGGAAATCGAGAATAAAAGACTAAACATCAATTTGCAAGGAGACAGAATGTATGATTGTGTTGAAGCTTGAAAGGAAAAGGTACACAATATTTACAGTTAGTTTTGGTATATTCTTGGGAAGACTGTTCCTGTAGAATGGGTTGACTTAATCGCAGTCGGGCAGAGTCTCTGGATTGGATCTCTTGTCCCTCGTCTTCCCGGTACCAACCCATATTTATATGGTCGGTACTCCACTATGTAAATTAGGTGGATCGTACCACAAAAGATTGTTAGCAAAAGGAACAACTCAATATGCAAATTACAAATTAAAGATACCAAATTCAAACAACTACAACAATTTAAATATCTGGGAAGTGGTTTAACAGAGGACGGAAAGTGCGTGAATGAAATCCGAAGGGGTAGGAAAATTTCGTTAGAAAAAAAAGAAAGGAGTACTGAACTGTTACATAATACCAGTACTCCTATATGGCAGTTAATGTTGGACAATCTCTTCAAATATGAAGAAGCAGCAGAAATAGGCTTCTACAGTAGAATGCTGAGAGTATCATGGACCTAACATGTGAGTAGCGATGAAATTTTAGAGAAAATTGAAACAAAAAGAACACTTATAATTAACATCAGAAAGAAACAGTTGAAATTTCTAGGATTCATAATGAGGAAAGATGGCTTGGGGAATTTGATACTCTCAAGGTAGATTGAAGGCAAGTGGGACAGAAGAAAACAACGCATAACCTATCTGGCGAACTTTTGTAAATGAATGGCCGAACAGGGTTTTGGAGAGATAACTAAAAGGTAACACTTATTATGCGCTACAAAGGACAAGAAATTGTGGAGAGCCATGATCGCCGGCTTCTAGAAGGAGCACAACACATAGAATAAGTTAGTTGAGTTTTTACTATAATTATTCCAGACGACGTCAATCTTAGTAAAAATTGTCCCACACCTGTATCAGTGATGAGAAGGCTAATTCCGAAGATTGTTACTCCTGTGATTTGGATACTCACTAGGTACCCTATATCTGAGCTTAGTATTTTTAATGCGTATGGAGTAATGATAAGCGAGTTGGTTTGGTTTATCATAATTAGTTTTTAGTAATTTCTATTCGTACTGTGTGCTTCATACTCTAAACCATTTTTGCCTAGAAAGCCACTCAAGGTAGAGGGATACAAAATTAGGTTGTTGTATGATCATAAGAGGAGGGGGTAAGAAATGTAGTTTATAAAGTTATGTAGGAAGAAGAAGTTGATTGTAGTAATCGGAAAACATCCTCTCGTGAGTCTGTTCCACAAAGTAGCGGTTGGTGGGTAGAAGCTGTCCAAGTGCAAGAGAAGAAACTATCAGCATAGAACTTCCGGTTACATCTAGCCATTTCAACTGTAAAATGATGAGACCTTGCCGTCAGTCTAGTACTACACTTAAATTCATAAAGTCTCGGTACCAAAGAGCAAAGTTTATTAGAAAAATTACTATGAAAATATTTATAGAAAAGGTACAGGGAAGGTACGTTGAGGCGGTGGGAAAGCGATTAAAGCCGAGATGTCAGGTCATGACCAATAACAGTGCAGATGACTCTTTGTATTTTCTATAGAATATCTAAATACACAGCAGAAGCACCAAACCGAATATTCAATGCATGGACGAATGGATCCCACTAATAACCATTAGAACGAATAAATAATAATAATAATAATAATAATAATAATAATAATGCAGATTCTGTGATAAATATCCAGAAACGATTGATCATCTTGTATCAGGTTGCACGGTGTTGGCACTCACTGAATATAAAACCCGACATGACAGAGTGGGCCAATATCTGCACTGGAAAATCTGCAACTTCTACGGGAAGGAAACTGAAAGAAACTGGTATGAACACCACCCAGACCCGGTTACGGAGATAGGACCTGTTACAATTCTATGGGACTACACAATACACACTGACAGAACAATCAAGGCCAATCGGCCAGATATTGTTATTAAAGACCACAAACAAAAACGGTGCCTCCTTATTGATATGACAGTCCCTGCTGACTGCAATGTATCTTTGAAGATATTCAAAAAGTTGTCAAAATACAAGGACCTTGAAATAGAAATCTCGAAAATGTGGCATATGGGAACATTAACAATCCCTGTTGTAGTTGGAGCCCTAGGACTGGTTGGAAAAGATTGCAGTAGATTAATTGAAGGGATTCCTGGAAGTCCATGCCTCAAGGAGATACAAAAAATTGTTCTGACAAGTACAGCCCACACCTTACGAAGGGCTTTATCTATGTATTTTAATTTTTTTTTTTTTTTTTTGTCAGTGGAAAGTGTCATGACGCCATTTCTAACCTTAGGTCCCTGGGCGGGACCCGGAAAGAAATGTGTAAACGCCAGAAATCAAAGAAAATAAAAAATAATAAAAAAATAATAATTTAGTAACTCGGTAACAAATCAAATAAGTTATATATGTAATTGTGCGTATAAATTGGAAAGCATTCCAAGTTATATGTGAACTCACTTTGAAAGTTGTCAATGTTCTGAAAATAACGACGTTTTTGCTGTCTTCAGAGAAAATCTTTACATCCCTCAAAACAGGATGGAGACTTTGGAGTTGTTGGGTAGCGGAAAGTTACAAAAAGGCACACATTTTTTTAATAAGCGCTTTTATCTGAAATTGCTTCACAGATAAATATAAGCATGAAACATATGCAAGACGGTTATTACAGCTATTAATAATTGTATCTCTACAACGAACAGTTATGAAGATAAGTAGGAATAGAGAGTGAATCAAGAAATAATACAATGGTTCCCCACTTATCCCCAGTTTCACGTTACAATACTTAAGGTTTATTTAATAATGGTCCTAAAGTGCAAGAATAGTGATGCTGGCAATTCAAATATGCGAAAGAGAAGTCAAGAGTGTTTCAATTTTGACTTATTCGAACCACTGTTCTCATCCTGATTCAATAGACGGCTCCTATAAGGATTCATTATCGTTGGGTTTGTTTCTTTTTGAATGCATATCAACCTCAATGGATATTTTAAGCCGGCAAGATTGTTAGAAGAGATTCGTATGAATAAAATATTTATTCTTTGTAAGAAATCAGTTTGTAAGAAATCAGATTGCATTGACGTATTTTTGCAAAGGCGTTTTTTGTCGAGAGTCAAATGTATTGCTGGTATTTTTTTTCCAAAAGAGTATTGCTGACATTTTTACTATAAAAAATGTGATCCTAACAGCTGCTACTACCCCGGGTCAGTGTGGACCTGGGAACAACAACAATTATGAGGCAGTTCCACTCTCCTCAAAACTCCCCGATCAGAAGCCTTGCTGCCGCATGTAGTTTATCGTCAAACCCAGGACGGTCCATTATTGTGATGACATTTCAAGTTTGTTTCTGTTGAAACAGATTTTAATATTGCACATCTTAATCGAGAGATATAGAATATATATATATATATATATATATATATATATATATATATATATATATATATATATATATAGATTGTGTGTTAAGGTAAACTTCTCAGATTGCTCCATATCCGAAAATTTGACCGAATCACGAAACATCAGATAATTTTGGGAGGAAAAGAATTCTCGGTCTGGAAGAAATCTTTTGCGTTCAATATTGAATCAATGAGTTCGTGGCCTAACATATATTTATTAGTAAGATATGATACTTTCACTGTATAAGTATTCATAGGGTTAATATTCACCTCTGAACTAAGTGCATTTGCCAATTGTTAAATGAATGTTTGGATGGATAATCTTATGAGTATGTAGGAGACTTTTTCTGTAGTTTGACTGGCCATGATTAAATGTCAGTAAATGGCAGAAGAACCAAAGTCAACTGAAGAATAGAAGACGGCAGAAGAATAATTGTCTAATGAAGAACGTATAACGACAGTAGAATCAGAGACTGCTGGAGAATGTAGACAAGAAATTAAAAACAAATATGAATTCCATTTTTTTCATCATTAGACTACGAACTATATAAGACAAATAGAGAGAAAGAAAGAAAGGATGAGAGAGAGAGAAAGTGGAAAAGATAGAGAGAGAAGAAAAGTAAGAGATAGTATATATGTCTACACTTACTGATTATATCATATTATGTACAATTTAATACAAGCCACTAAATGTGCAGGTAATTTAGATAGACACACGTGTACGGACGTTTGATGCAAGCTTTCTTTCCTTAGTAATGCTCACAAGAGGTTTATTTCTAAAGCGATAAGGTGAACCACCATCTCCATAACAGTAGATTTATATGGTCAAATGTCCCGAAACTGCAGTAGCACTACATATCTATCTATCTATCTATCTATCTATCATCTATCTATCTATCTAGAGAGAGAGAGAGAGAGAGAGAGAGAGAGAGAGAGAGAGAGAGAGAGAGGATGCTATATGTCAGACGTAATGTCAACACTTATTTATACATATGTATAGTTCGCACACGTTAAATCCATTACAAGAGTAATGGGTTTGCACTTAAGAAAACTAAACAAAGATTTTAACTTGTCCGAGATAAAGGTTGTCTTCTTTATCTTGAGGCTCAAATCCAGCGATTAACACTCCAATGAGGACTAAAGATGTTTGGGGCAGTAACAGTTTGATTAAAGGTAAACTACCTTCCCAAAGATTAAGAGGGTGCTGGTAAAACGATTAAAATACCGCTGTCACCATTGTCTAAATTTCAGTACACAAGTCCGTAAATTTTCTTGACGCATTTTCGATTGGCTTATTCAAGTTTTTGTAGGAAAAATAGTAATAACATTTTTTGGAAACCATTTGTATAAAAACTTGATTGAATGCGCACACTTACAGACACAGGCAAACACGAAGTTGACACACATATGCAAACACACATATCTACATGAAAGCATATATACGTGAAGCACATACGTATAGGCTGCGATGAATAAATTGTCGTCTAAATTACGCAAAAATGAAAATAACACTGACGTCTCATTTTAACAGATATACCTACCAAAATTACACAAAAATATCTTGAAATAATAAAGAGTAAATTTATTCAATAAAATCGCCATTAGCTTCAACCACAGCCTCCAGACAACTTTTGAATCTCCTGCAATTTTTCTGGATGGTCTCCTTGTTTAAGTTGGTGAATACTGTCATAATCCTGCCATCAGTTCATCTTTCGTATTACAAGGTGTTTTGTTGGCTTCTCGCTCAACATTTTGGGAGTTAGGTGGCCAGATGTAAGGGGTGATGTGGTTGCAGAAATTGTCTGACAGTCATGACTGTGTGCTCCTGCTTGTGTGGTATGGCGCAGAGTCCCCGGCAGTCCAGCAGCTACCCTCTTGACCCAGGTCAGCCCTACCTCCTGAAGGCACTTGATGTAGGCCTCTGTGTTGAGTCTGAAGCCTTCACCAACAAATTCGGGAGCTCTTTTCTTATCAGAACAGTCAGAAGGAGTTTTCCGAGCTGCCGTACTTTCGTAATCATCATTAGACTCATCCAACTCCTACCGAATCATCTGCACTGTCCTCAGCTTGACACCTAAACACTGGAACTTCCGGCGCAGCATGCCGTTTCTAAATTTCTGGCGGGGTGAATTTGCGCCATAGTGCTCTTTTTCTCACAGACGGTGTCCAACTGACCTTAACTGTGCAGTCGACAAAATCAAAAACAATCAACGCGCATGACCGAAACAAAAATTATAAAATGACGACTATTTACCCATCGCAAAGGTACACTGCAAGGACTACCATGTCAATAAGAAAGCACATTCTGTTTTTGTGGTCTTTCATCAAGATGTCTGATTATTATTATTATTATTATTATTATTATTATTATTATTATTATTATTATCTGGCGATTTTTTTCTAGCTTATCATTTAACATATTTTTTCTTGTTCTTTACCTTAAATATTCTTCCAATCATAATTTCGTATATTTATTTTCATTATACTTATTGTTGCCGTTGGCGCTATATTCCTATTTCTTTTAGTTTCGTTTTTCTTTTAATTTTTTTTTTTGACCACCCACTCAGTAAGGGCGCCAAATTGTTATCTTAACAATGGCAAGCGCGACTATTACTTGTTTATGAATGCACGTGTCTGGTTGTGTCATTATTTGAACAATTACGTAAAAAGAAAAAAAGAAAAAAGAAAGAAAACAAACAAAAAAAACAAAACAAAAAACGATCAAACAAACAAAAAGCGGAAACTTTCTTATTTCGGGTTGGCGCCTTATTTCTTTCTTTCATAGATTCATGTCAATGATGGAAACATCCGTGCTCTTTGCCCCCCCCCACCAACTTTTTCATACCAACTAAAACAAAGACATGTTGCAAATTCACATGCACAATAACGCCTAAATGTCCGCACGATAAATAACATAAGAAATAAACGGCAATGTAATACAAAAACCCTTTAACAAACATTTTGTAACCTGATGAGTTATCTCCCTTACTCTGCTTTGTTCAGGCAGGTTTTCGCCGTAAATAAAAGAGATTACGAACGTAAATGACGTTTACCATTGATCGGGTGATTACGAAAGAAAACTTAGGAATTTCGAGTGATGTCTTAAATATTCTGTATTTGTTGTAAAGCTCGTTTTCATCTCTTGTTTGGATTTGAAATCACATTTCGCTAACATTTTGTGAAACTTAATCTGAACCCATCTTTTTATTTTGTTTCCTATTCTAAATATTTTTAACCCAATAGATCAGGCATCGCCAACCACCGAGCCGGAGACCAGTACCGGGACGTGGAACATTTGGTACCGGGCCACACAGAAAGAATAAAACCTTTTTTTTTTTTCATTTTCTTGACTATCGCGGTCTTGTATTATGCGCATGACCGACAACGGCCCCTCATCCGGTTCGTGAAAAATTCCCTTGCATGACGCAAAAAAGTCATCTACAATAGATATGTATATATCAAGTCGTGGAATGCCTAAGTGAATTTCAAATAATATTTAGATATTTAAACAGATTTAATCCAGAAAAATTATCTGTCATCTTGTTTCACTGTGTTTTCTTATCTTTGAGGCAGATTCCTAATTCCACCCGTCCTGGGTATGACGGTAAACTACATCCGCATCCCAGGTGAGACGATAAACTACATCCGACAGCAAGGCCTTTGATCAGGAGGTTTTGAGGAGCGTTGAACCACTTTATAATTGCCGGTGTTTCCATGTGCAACCTGACCCGGGGTGGTAGCACCTGTTAAGATCCCAGCTATGGGAAAATAGTTAGTCCCAAACTGGGACCAAAAATTTATTAAAGCGTAAAAATAAGTTTTAATCCCAGCAATTCAATTTTGTAAAAGATTATTACCATTAATGAATTTTTGAAGGAAAAATTATTACCAGCAATACATTTTTGAAGAAAAAATACTACTAGCAATAAAAATCTTTTTCGGCATTAAGTAATCCATCTACAATTGATAATATGTATATATCAAGTCGTGGAATTCCAAAGTGAATTTCAAATAATATTTAGATATTTAAACATAGATTTAATCCAGAAAAATTATCTGTCATCTTGTTTCACTGCGTTTTGTTATCTTTGAGGCAGATTCCTAATTCAATCCGTCCTGGGTATGACGGTAAACTACATCCGCATCCCAGCTTCTTTCTTTGCTAATACAATAAAAACGAAACCAAACCTAATTCCACCCCCACCCCCCCCCCTCGAATTTGGTATCTTTCTCAAATCAGTAGTATTCCAAAGATGCAAGTACAGGTGAGTTTCACCGTAACATACAACAACACTGATAAAGAAGATGGCTGATAAAAACTAAGTATTTTAAAACTTAGCTTTAGTGAACAAAGACAAGATGTCGCAGACTACACACCGAATTACAGAAGCAGAACTGACAAATCAAAGATTCTTCACCGAAAATCGCAAATTAACGGCAGAAAATCAAGACGTTACTATATTTCTTCATATTTTATTTTGATATGCAAAAGAGATTCGTTTTCTACTTATCAACCCATTACAGGTTATTTAAAGCCATAAAATATATTTATATTGTAATAATATTTGTTTTTTGGTGATAATAATGATTTAGTGATATATGTCTTACCCATAGCTGGGGGAGACGAGGTGAATTCAAATCTTTCCTAAGTGAATATAACGAAACCAAAGGGAATTAGAACTCGGCTCTCCTATTAACAATTCTGATCCATTATCTATTAACCGCACATTCCAGCTGACCGCTCCTGTTATTTCAAAGCAGTTGCACATCTAGATAATGACCAGGCTCGACGTTGCTTAACTTCAGCGATCGTACGGGGACCGGTGTTTCAACGTGATGTGACCGTAAGCCGCAAAAAAAAAATAAAATAAAAAAATAAAATAAAAAAAAATAAAGATGGCTAAAGTTGTGAGCTACGAGTTGGTGGTGTCAAAATCAAGTAGGTACAAAACTAGATTGGCAGCTAGGTCTCATCATATTACAGTTGAATCTGCTACATGAAACTGTAAGTTCTATGCAAACAGTTACTTCTCGCTTGTGGAACTCTTTTCTGGCTTCTTGCTTTCCAGTCAACTTTGATCTTCAAAAATTTATCTGTAATATTGTTATATACCGTACCTATGAACACTGATGGGTATGTCCCAATCCTCATAAATACGTTGGACACTGTTGTAAGTGGGGGTAATATGCTGTCTAAGTAGTCCACCACTAGCAATGGTTTACCTACTTCATGCTGCTGGTGAGTATTGTATTTTGTTCTTCATTTCCAACCTTCCTGAAAGGACAGGGTCGATAAAAGAAAAAGAATCGACCAATTGGCATTTATGGTTGCAGTGAAATCCAAATGTCAAAAAACGAAGAAAAAACATACTTCATCTTTCAAAGATATATTTTATTGCACATGAGCCGATAACTTTCACTGACTTCTTTATGTGCCGTGTCCCTTCATGACGTAGGCGATCATGGCTCTCCACAATTTTCTGTCCTTCGGAGCTCTTAATAATTTTTGTTTTCGTTAATTCTCCTAACCCTTGTTCTGCCATTCATTTACTCAAGCTGTCTAGATAGGTTATGCGTTGTTTTCCTCTGTCCGTCTTGCCTTTACTATGTCCTGTGAGTATCAAATTTTCCAAGCCCTCTTTTCTCATTATGTGCCCTTGAAAATTCAACTGTCTTTTTGCTTCCATATTCTCTAAAACTTTCCGTCATTGCTCACATGTTCGGTCCATGGCATCTTCAGCATCCTTCTGTAGAACCATATCTCTGTTGTTCTTCTTAGAAGATGTTCTTCATTTTCTATGTACCTCCATGCCCCTTCAGAGCGTGTACGATCATGGCTCTCCACAACTTCCTATCCTTTGCAGGTTTGATGTATTATAACCTCACCCAACCCCTGCTCTGCCATCCATTACACAAGCTCGTTAGGTTAATTGCTGTTCTGCTCTGTTCATCTTGCCTTTGCCCAGGATGTCACGTGAAGGTCAAATTCATGCTTCTTTCCTCATCATATGTCCGAGAAATTCCAACAATTTTTTTTCTGATAAAGCTTCCTATTTATTTCCATTTTCTTTAAAATTTCCTTGTTGCTTAGTCTATGGTATTTTAGCATCCTTTTGAAGAATTACATTTCTGTTGCCTCAAATACCTTTCTCTGTGAGAATTGTTGTTCATGATGACGGTCGTCTTTGAGTATAGAATCCAGAGGTTAGCAGTGAATATTTCGAAGACAGTAGGGAAGCGTAGTTCAGGTGAGCAGTGAATATTTCGATAAAAGTAGCAGAGCATAGTTCGTCCTTCTGGTTCTCTTCGCCTGACAAACTGGACTGGACATTCGGGTAGAGTAGACAAAATGGCCGCCTTTATACACGACGGATTGAATGTTCTACGTCTTCTGATTGGCCGCCTTTATACACGACGGATTGAATGTTCTACGTCTTCTGATTGGTTAACCCTTCTCTTGGTGGACTATAAAATGAGTCAAGTCATTTTGACTAGCTCACTAGTACATAATATACACAAAAAACTGCAACATTCACCCGCCATATAGGAGGACCGATATTACGTAACAGTTGGGCACATTTTCTTTGCTTATAATTATACGATACTAATCTTTGAAGTGCGTCTTCTCCAAGAATTCAGAGATCTTCTATTTATTCAATGACAAATCTTAATGACAGCAGCTAACAGTGAAGACTACGAAGTTTCATGAAAACTGAAACGCTTCGTTTTGTCACTCGTAGTAGAGTTCATGATGATAAACTACATTCAGCAGCAAGGCTTCTGATTGGGAGATTGGAGATTTTGGTGGCCGGGGAGCTAGCTCTTAATTGCTGTTGTTCCCAGGTTAATCCTGAACCGGGGTGGTAGCATCTATGGGCAAATAGTGAACCCCAAGCTAAAATTGGAACACTGTGAAAAGGTAGTGCCTCTTAGGGTCTCAGCTATGTGAAAATAGTGAAGCCCCAAACAAAAACAAATACTTATGGAAGTATAAAAATACATTTTTATAGTAAAAAATGCCAGCAATACACACACAAACACACACGCATATATATATATATATATATATATATATATATATATATATATATATATATATATATAATTACCAACAATACATATTTAGAGTAAAATTGCCAACAATGCATTTTTTTCTGTAGCTGAAGGCTCACAATTGCGTTCAAAATATATTTAGTTATATTTTGTTAAAATATTTAGATTTCGGCATTAAATAACCCATAGAGGTCTTGATATGTCGCTAACCAAATACATGGTAATCCTGTGTGTATATTTGTGTTTCCTATAGCCGAAGCATACCGTTACCAATTTGGCCGCGGGAGACTACCTTGATAAATCAAAATTCAATTATCTATTAATGAACGCACATCTCTCATCATTCTGCAGTAAGCCTCTATTCCACACTTTGTCAAAAGCCTTTGAGATATCTTGGGGAAGTGCTCTCGTGATGAAGTTAATGTCGAGCGCCTCATTAATTCTGTGTGTAATGATTGCTAAAACATCAGCAGTGAACCAAGTGGAACGAAATCGATACTGTTTGTCGGACTGGAGGTTTTTTTTTTTTTTTTGAGGTGATCAACAACCTTCTTGCTGATAACAGACACAAAGAGTTTGCTGATAACACGAAAGGAGTCTGTTAGGCTAATACAGTGAGGAGGATGATCAGAGTATACCACTGACACCTTTTATAATTTTTTTAATCTTTTCACCCCAAGCAAGGCGATAATGCCACTAAAACTTCAGGGCTTAATGAGGAAAACAGAAAATAGTGATTGACGTTGCATTTGAATATTTTGAAGGTTGTAGGTAGAAGGGAACCAGGAAACCGGAAGGAAGCTCCACAGGCGAGAAGTGCGAGAAAAGAAAATATTTAAATAGAACTCATGGTTATATCTAGCTATTTCAACAGTGAACCGATGAGATCTAGTCGTACGTTTAAATTCACGCGTTCGAAGTACCAAGAGGAGAACAATTGCTAAGAAAATATTTATAGAAAATATACAAGGAAGCCATTTTACGTCGGTGTGAAAATAACAAGTCGATTTGCCAGATCAGGACCGATAACATTACAGACTCGTCTTTGGGTTTTATCGATAATCTCGAGATATATAGAAGGAGCAACAAGACTTGATATGGTAGATGTTTTTAATGCACGGAATAATGATAAAAATGCGCAATATTCTGGCGAGAAAAATCGTCTGGTACAACACATTGATCAAATCTCCATAGCAGCAGACCTAGCAATTGATTCAATATAATCACTTGAATTAATGTCAGTTGAAAATAAAGGATCCAAGAAGGCCTAAAATGATGCTCTCTTGGATGTATGCATCAGACATGCCGATGGAAGGCAAAAGGTTCTCTATGATTGTTAAAAATTGCAGTTTTGTTTTGTAGTCGTTAACACTTACAAGTGATTTTTTGTTCTGCCAGTTTTACTTGAACGGACCTATCGGACTTGCTATTAAGACAGGAGTAAATAATTGTGTCATCAGTATAAATACCGAGTTTGGAACTGATGATATTGGTAAGGTCATTGATGAAAATAAGAAACAACGTAGGCCTAAGGATAGTATCCTGAGGGACAGGATCTAGAACGGCCACTTCAACGCAACTTTCATTACACGATTTGTTAAGAACGATTGGATTAACTCAAATATTCATCTAGAAACACCATAGCCCTTGAGCTTGTGAAGAAAACCAGTATGTCAAACGGCTTCGAGATATCTAAAGCCACAATCGGAGCCTTATCTAATAGACAAATTCAGTAAAGTTCTTTTTCGGGCAGTGATTAAACAACTTTGCCAGAATTTGATATAACTCTAGATATAGGTCCTAAAGAACAACCACAGGAGTTTTATCCAGTCCGATAGCCTTCGTAGAGTCTGGGATCTTCGCTAATCGTGATATAGAAATCATAAAAGTTTGGAATTCATGTGACAAGGTTGGTTGGGGTCAGTCAGCTTCGTCAAGTGACAAAGCAAACTACGCCCTTGTGCAAATTAATTGAAATAAAACGAATAATTCCATTATTATATGCTTTTTTTTCGTATTTTCCAATGAAACATGACCAAATGCACATGTTAGTACTTCATATGTCCATTCCATGAAGTCGTTCCTTTCATCGTGACCACAGATTCTCAATTGTATTTAAATCAGGAGAGTTTCCGGGCCAGTCTATAATACTTTGATTTGCTCACTGGAAAGGCTTGCCAATGTGTTCCTGCAGTGTTACAATTTTCGTACGCCTCCTTGTAGTAATGTCCAGCGCAGACAATGGTCGTAGGACAACTAATCGACAGTCGAGACAATAGAGTCTGGGTGTGATAACAATCTGATGCAATCACGAATGAAGCAATATTTTTCAAAGCCAAACAAATTTCATGATACACCCCGAAAATAGTTTCATATTATTGCACGCCACTGCAAATGACCAAATCTGAGGAAAAAATATAAATCGATTACACCCTGTCACTCCAGTGGGTCTAAAACTGATCGTATGGTGAAAGAAAGGAACTAAAGCGGTTGTTTCAATTTATTTGCACAAGGGTGTACGAGAATAGACAGACTTCGTCAGGTGAATTTAACAAAACTTTGGAGGAATTTCTGCTGCTTAAATATATCTTAAACACACATAGAGACACGCACGCACACATACACATACACGCACAAACACACGCGCACAGACACAGACATACACAGACACACACGCACACACACACACATATATATATATAAATTAGGTATAGTTTTTACATATATGAACTAGGTACACACATTCATACATACATATATATATATATATATATATATATATATATATATATATATATATATATATATATATATATGTATGTATCATAAACTAGGTACCTCAGCTGATTAGCTAAAATTTAACATGCCACGCTGAAAAAATGGTCCTGTCTTAATAAAAACAGTTTCATCGTCAAAGTCATTATGAAAAGGAAAAACGGAAACATTTTTTTTATTATTAAATAATATTTTTATCCTCTTTAGAACGTTCGAAATTTCCGAGTGTGTGTGTGCAAAAATTAGTGTATATATATATATATATATATATATATATATATATATATATATATATATATGATGGATGGATGGACGTATATAGTATCGTTATACCCATCAATTACGCTGGTCCATTCACTTCAGGCTAACTGACATAAAAACTAATATATGAATTTTCATCTGCCCCAACATTTGTTTTAGGCTCGACTCTTAACCCTGACATGAGTCGGCTCCGAACCCCTTAAACCCTGATCAGATACTATCCCAGGCCTACCCCTTGAAAGCCGGGTCGCCACCTGAGTGGGTCTGCTTAACTTTCCCTTGTTTTCCACTCGCGAAGGATCAAGACTGCTTATTCTTTTGTGTAATTAATGTGTCTTTTTTTTCTTGGTCCTCACCCACGCACTTTCGGCGTCTCTGTAAACAGAAAGCGGCTAATGATATGGGTAGGGTTGTAATAAGTCGCATAGGTGGAGTGGTGCGTAGGCAGTTAGGGAATTTTGTGTACACCGGTGGGGGCGCCAAATAGCCTATATGTCATCAATATACTGAGAAAATGAAAGTGTGTTTCGTGATATCTATCTATCTCTCTCTCTCTCTATATATATATATATCTCTCTATCTGTCTATCTATCTATGAGTGCGTGCTGAAATGTTTGTAGCCCATCCAAAGCAAATCCAAATGTACCGGAATCACCTTGAGCAGATCCCATTCCCCAAAATTTGACAAAATGATCATTTATGATAAATGACAGATTTATAATTTAAAAGAATTTTCGTCGAATATCTATCTATCTATCTATCTATCTATCTATCTATCTATCTATCTTCGTCTATTCATATCTATCTATCTATCTATCTATCTATCTATCTATCTATCTATCTATCTATCTATCAGACATGAATCTATAATGAATCTATAACCGCTAGCTTTAGTTCGTACCTAAAACTTAAACAACAACTAATTTTTTTAAAAGGATTTTTATCCGACATTACTATAAACGCTATTTTAATTGGTACACGTATTTAGGTTTTTATTCACGTTCGTTTAATTTTCTTACTTTCTTAATCAGTGAAATTAATAACAACTTCTTTAAATTGTGAAGTCTTACTAAAGAAAAATTGTGCTCCCGATAGAAATTGAACATACATCCCTTTTTTCTATAAGGGAAACTATAGCTAAATCGGGCCTCTACCAGTTTGAACACAAAGACCTGACACAGAAAGGCTTGAATTACCTATTCTAAGAAAATTACATTTCTCGTTGGTACTTGTTGGGTAAATGGATAGGTTGAAGAGGTCCTGTTGGGTAGCCATCGAGCTCACCAAATATCACAGCTCTGGATTTTTTCTGTGGGGCTATTTGAAATCAGTTGTTTATCAGACGCGCCAAGAAATATTGAAGAATTTCAAGAAAGAATTAAATATGAATGCAATAAAATAACAGGGGAAACTCTTCGTCGTGTTAATGAATTATGAAGGCATAGAATTGAAATGTGTTTTGTAAAAGGAGAGGGACATTTTGAATATAACAATTAAATAAATATTAAATAAATTTTTCATATATCTTTATACATTTAATAAATTATCCCTACACGGCGCGACATGTGGAGAGATCTATGTCAGTCTATACATCTCTCTCTCTCTCTCTCTCTCTCTCTCTCTCTCTATATATATATATATATATATATATATATATATATATATATATATCAAAAGAATGAATAAAATGATATGAATAGATTAACATTAGTGGTAAACTTATACAGATGTTTTATAATTGTTACAACCAACTGGAAAAAGTATGTAATTCTCTCTCTCTCTCTCCCCTCTCTCTCTCTCTCTCTCTCTATCTATCTATCTATCTATCTAGCATCTTGAGATTTCTATTTCAAATACGAGTATCGACTAATAATAACGTTTTAATTACTGAAAACGAAAACAAAAATATAATTAAATACTGTCAAAAATCAATATTATACTACAATAAAAAAATAGACACAAAAAGGTCCAAAATAATAATAATAATAATAATAATAATAATAACTTTGACGTAACAATGGGTAGCTACGATAGTTCAGGGAACTAATAGGAATATACATAATCAATAACATAACAAATATTATTAAAAATAATATATAGGTCTATACAGGGACGATGTTCTAAGAAATTGCAACTGCAAAACTACAGAAATAATAAAACAAGAAATAATAAAAACGTTCAAAACAGACATAAAATCAAATCTAAAAATACTAAATTTCTTAGATATAATATTCAACGTAAACAACAGAACCTGCAAGCAATACAGAAAACCAAACAACAACCCATTTACGTTAACAAAAATTCTACCTCCCAGTGTATTTACACAAATATCTATATTTAGAAATAAAAGAATTTCAATAAATCCTTGTAGCCTAAAGATATTCAATGAAAATAAAAAAAAAAACATGAATCAGCCCAAGAAACAGCGGATATTCATACAAATACAAAAACTTGAACAATTCAAATAAAAACAACAGAAAAAATAATTTGGCTCAACCGTTCCCGACAACAATACGATACAATAAAACCAAAAATAGGGAAAATTTTCTTCAAAATAATTGACAAACACTTCAAATTATCAAAAATTATCAACAAAAATACAATTAAAATTAGTTACAACTGCATGGATAAAATAATAACTAAACACAATAAAAAATACTCAACAAAACCAATAACAATTACAACAATAACATGCAGCAAAATAACATTATTAAATGTAACTGCAGAAATAACGAAAATTACCCCCTTAACAATAAATGTTTAACCAATAACATAATATGCAAAGCTATCATAAATAATAACAATAGCACAGATGAAAAAATTTACAAAGGGGCTACAGAAAAGATATTATAATCATAAAATGTCATTCGAAAGAAAAAAAAAATACACAAACAATACTACCCTATCAAAAGCTAAAAAAGAAAACAACATCTCCACCAAAATCAAATGGGAAATTATAAAAAGAGCAACCCCATACAATATTAAAAATAAAAATTTTAAATTATGCTTAGAGGAAAAATTAGCAATAATTAGTTTTAAAAACTAAAATAAACTCCTAAACAAGAAAACTAAAATAATGGGTAAATGTAGGTATATAAATAAATATTTACTTTGCCATATACGCAGTAACAAATAAATATAAATAGAATAAATATAATACAAACTTTAAATAAATAAATAAATAAAAGAAAAAATATAATATAAACTAATTTATTAATATACACATAAACGAACAATCATACACACATACACGCGTGTGTATATGTACATATAGATGTATATATACGCATAAACAAGCACCAAAAAATGAAGACACATAAACCTACTAATTAATCCCTTAATATATAAAACCAAGGCAAAAACAAATAAACTACGATCCATTAAATATAAACAAAACATACAAATGAAACATTAAATAACGTATGATATAAGCATACACTTATTTAAATTACATGTATACTATTTAATAATTACATATACGTGCGTGCGTGAAGCGTGCGTGCAACCCATGCGTGAGTGTTCTGGATATATATATATATATATATATATATATATATATATATATATATATATATATATATATATATATATATAAAAAAATAAATAACTTAGACACTAGTTTATTACCGTCCTGGGTAAGACTGTAAACTACATCCGACAGCAAGGCTTTTGATCAGGAGGTTTTGAGGAGCGTGGAAACACCTCTTAATTGCTGGTGCTCCTAGGTCCACCCAGAACTGGGGTGGTAGCACCTCTTAGGGTCCAAGTTATGGGCAAATAGTTAACCCGACAAAGGAGGGCAAAACACAATGAAGGTATAAAAATAGGTTTTAATATTAGTAATACTGTTTTGGCAAAAATTATTACCAGCAATACAATTTTGAAGAAAAAATATTACCAGCAATACATTATTACCTGCAGTGCATTTTTGAAAAAAAATATTACCAGCAATACATTTTTGAAAAATATTACCAACAATACATTTTTGGAAAAAAATATTACCAGCAATACATTTTTGAAAAATATTACCAACAATACATTTTTGAAAAATATTACCAACAATACATTTTTGAAAAAAAATATTACCAGCAATAAATTTTTGAAAAATATTACCAACAATACATTTTTGAACAATATTACCAACAATACATTTTTGGAAAAAAATATTACCAGCAATAAAAATCTTGACGACATTAAATAAACCATTGAGATTGATATGCCGTAAAACAAAACAAACCAAACCTAGTTTAATAATAACAAATCTCCAACATCAGTGTACACGTAAGTGTGTACGCACGTTTATGAGTACATATGTGCGCATACCTATATACGCGCGTGAACTGATATGCATGTGTGCGTATACATAGACGTATAAACACAGACATATGCATTTAAATTCTAACAATACTAATTAAATTTAATTATAAATCTAACCTCCCACAATTAATGCTTATAATACCACCAAATAAATGAAACAACATCCCATATATATATGCGTGTGTATAAAAATATTCATCATTTAAACATTAATATCAATTATTTATGAAAAAAACGTACTGCACTAGTCAGGTGTACTACCGTCATGACCCATGCATGCTCAATGGAGGAGGACCCGTCTGGCGATCAACATCGGTTCTCGTACGACGACCGAAGTTAACCAACATCGAGCCTGGTCAGTATCTAGATGGGTGACCACTTGGGTATACCAGCTGCTGTAATCTTAGATATGCCAGTGTTAACGGCTTGGAATTCTTAATCGGCGTGCCGAGTTCCAATTCGAGTTGTGTTCGTTATATTCATTTACGAGCAAATACCCTTGGGAAAGATATGAATCTTCCTCTTCTCCAATCAGCTATGGGTCAATTAGTAGGACTTGTATCATTGAATCATTATTATCAAAAAAAGTTCTAAGAATATTTTCTGGCTTTAAATAACCACCAACCTATCTTTCTATTTATCTACCTTAGTTAATTCATATCTATCTACCTACCTACCTATCTGGATATATATAACTGGATATGCGTGCACACATAAATTAATATGTTGATTACGCATGACATTTCAGCGTGTGACAGAACAGAGGGGTTAATGAAAATTGCTTTTGTTTTCTTTCGTTGGTGGCCTGTAATTATGTTTACACAAGAGTTTCCATCTAAATGCGTTTAAATAGAAAGCGTGAGCGTAGATGGAGGGAAAATGAACACTGAACTGTAGAAGGTGAAGAAAAACGTAAGAGAGGAGCGGAAAGGCAAAAATAAGAATAAGGAGAAGAAGGAGGAGGAGGGGGAAGAGGTGAAGGAAAGGGAGGAGGTAGAGGAGGAGGAGGAAGAGGAGGAGAAGAAGAAGAAGAAGAAGAAGACGAAGAAGAAAAAGAAGGAGAAGAAACGCTTACATGAAAGAGCGAGTAGAAAAAAAAGGAATAAACGAATAAAAAAGTGAGCGAAAAAGTAAATTGAAAAGAAGAAAAGAATGAGAAAGAAAGTAAAACGAAAAATTGAATGAGAGTGAGAAGACATAGGCGAAGGAATAAAATAAGAAGAAAAGGAGAAAGGAAAAGCAAACGAAAGAAAAGAAAAAAGAAGTGTAAGATAAAAAAAGGAAAACGATAGGATCAAAGATGGAAGTAGCAACAAACAGGAGAGAAAAAAACGGAAGGGAATTGGAAAAAAAAGATGAGAGAAAGAAAAGAAAATAAAGAAGAAAAAGAAAGAAAGAAAGGTGTAAAATAAGAGATATAGTAAATGAATTAAAGGGGTGAAGAAATGAAGAAGTAAATAAATAAATAAATAAATAAATAAAGAAGTGACAGATATAAGTACAGCTCTAGGTAAATGTCGAGAAACGACGGGTGAGTAGTGAAATTCGCTTTTTGTTTTTAGTCCCAGACAAAGAAATGGTTGACCGATCTGGTATGCACTTCTGTTAAATAATACGGTGAATTAACACTGTAAATAGAAATAACAACATTCCAATGTCAGAGACAAGGCTGTATATCGAAGCCTATTTGGTTAACACGTCCATTCTTTTACAAACTCTCTCTGGTTCGTATCTAAGACAGGGTGCTTAAACTTTTATCATGATAACCTTTATATTTAGACTTTACTATTGGTCATTAAGGAATATCAAAAAAAATATCCTAAAAGTAAAAACTGATGGAAATTCCACAGGTGTTAGCAACTAAGATTATCCATTATCTCATACATCAGCGCTTGTATCACCTTTTGCCTGTATCTTCCTATTCTTACCCTTCTCTCTTCTAATCTTCTTTGGCAGCCATGTTTTTTCTCAATATACAAACATAAATTAGTTTTATATACAAAAAGAAAAGAAATGCACAAATATTTTATTGCTCCATCTCTTTTACATTTCTTTTGCTTTCTCTGCCTGACAAAATTTCATTCATTGTTCCGTTATACGAACAAATATTAGTTTTATACGCGAAAAAGTAATACAATTTTCTCATACCTCAGATGTTCTATCACCTTTGTCTGTATATTCTCATTCTTGCCCTTATCCCTTCTAATCTCAGTTGGCTGTCTATGTTTTTATCTCAGTGTTATAAAAACATGGCTTACTTTCATACGTGAAAAAAAGAATAAGTAGTAAAATATGTTCTACTGTATCCTCTCGTTTATCTTTCTTTTACTCTGTAAAATTCGTGATCCACCAAAATTCCCTATTTTCTGTAGGGGATTTTAATGGATCACTAATTTTACACTTTATTCGGGTTTATTATATATATAAATTCACTTTCATCATATGTTTAGGTTTTATTACGATTATAATCGTCGGTTTTTAAAAACAATAAACATTGCCGAGGAGTGAAGGTAGTTAAAATAATAGCGGCGTCAAGGGAAAAAACCTTCCCTTTGACACACCGTTTTTTTTGCGGGCACGAATGTTAAAGAATGTCCTCACTTTTTATATGAATATCTAAAGTACGGATGAATTGATGACATTACTACACACGCACTGGTTCCGAAACAGTGCAGTGCGCACCATAAGTGCGGTGGAAGAGGATAGCCGGTGAGGCGGAAGAGGATAGCAGGTGAGGCGGAATGATTAAAAGACAATCAAAGATTTAGAAATACTTTCAATAAATTCATATGCCAAAAATAAATATGATTTAAAGAATTTAAAATAATATTATGGATTATTTGTAATTGCATACATAAGTCCCAGTTATAAATAGTTAAAAATAATTACTGACCGATTTTATCATTGTGATATTTTTGTATTATATCAAGTATTAAGAATATTGTAACTAGTGTCCGCAAATTGTAGGAGAGAGTTATCAATGATAATGTTCTGACTTCATATTTGCGGTTATCTCCCTTTAAACCTCTGATTTTTTTTTTTTTTTAAATTTACTTTTTGTCACATAAAATTTGGTGGGGCGTGAGCTAATTGTCATTCCGAAAATGCGACCCAGAGAAAAAATATTGGGAAGCACTGTAGTATAGAATCAATCTCCTTGTCAGATGTTGATAATCCATCTGTCGCCACTATGATTATTTATTCGATCTAAGTTGAGATCATAAAGTCCGCAACCTCGCGCCGCGGTAAATTGTGAACGCCATAATCTTTTCAATGGTTGAATTGCATACACCTCGCCAGGGTTAGATACCTAGTGTCCCAAGTGTACATTTAAAAATAAACCGAAATGGACTAAAAGAATTTTAATATGGAATATTTAAAAAGAAAAGTCTAAATCTATTTCTGCGAAATGCTTACGACTATCTCACGTTGAAACACCGTTTCTCGTATGATCACCGAAGTTAAGCAACGTCAAGCCTGGTCAGTAGCTCGATGGACGAACTCTTGGGAATACCGGGGGCTGTAAGCTGATAGTGGTGTAATGGGTAATGGCTCGGAATTATTGATCTGTGAGTCGTGTCCCAATTCCCGTTTGGTTCGTTATATTTACTTACGCGCATATATATATATATATATGTGTGTGTGTATGTATATATATATATATATATATATATATATATATATATATATATATATATATAAAAATGCAGAAAATAGAAATTATAGACATATTAAACTAACAACAAAAACAATTCTCTTGACATTAGTTGATTCATATCTATCTATATATCTGCACTTGTTAAGTATACTACCGCCATGTCCCATGCATACTCAATAGGGGACTTGTCTGGCGATCAACATGGCAGAAGTTAAGTAACATGGAGCCTGGTCAGTACCTAGATGGGTGACTGCTTGTGTATACTAGCTGCTGTAAGCTTGGATATGCCATTAGTATGATGGATAACAGCTCGGAATTCTTAATCGGAGTCTCGAGTACCAATTCGAGTTATTCACTTACGAGCAAATGCCGTTGGGAAAGGTTAGAATCCTCCTCTTCTCCCCAGGCTATGGGTTAATTAGTAAGACTTATATTATTAAAGCTATTATTACCACCCGCCAAATCTTACAATTGAAAATATTTTCTGGATTTAAAAAACCTGTAAAAGGCGTCGAAAACGAAACAATCATATATTTGTGAATGAAGATTTTTTCTCAAATAATAAGTTATTGAACAATGGCCTTTAAATTTTAAAGATTATCTTTATCAGCATGAGCCTAACTTTGATACTATCGCGCTAGAGTCAAGGTTAGCTGTCAATGTCTCACCCCGACCTGTGAAAGAAATCAACATAGATCCATATTAAGTGGTTCAATCGTTAATCACGAAATATTTGGCTGATAACAAATGGCTCGCCAACAACAGCAAAGATTTATAATTATAATTCAGTCAGCGCTGAGTCACACATTTACCCATAAGCATACGCGCAAAGAAAAACAAACATGCATGGGCACAGGCATGCGCACAGGCATGCGCACATGTTCATGCTTTTATTTGCAGGTACGCATTTAAGAAACAGACGAAAACATAGAATGAAGAAACAAAACGACTAAATAGTGAGTTCGATCCTCACTGGGTGTCCTATACTTTCGGCCTTACACCACATCTAAGCAATCACCATAGAACGAAGAAACAAGGGCACTTCGACGTAGAGTAATGGTTAGCAAGCTTGTCTCGCTAAATCATAGCGGCGCCAGATGGATTATCAACATCTCTCAACGGGATCAATCGAGACAAGCTTTGCTAACTATCACAGGTTCCTCCCTATTTCTAGTTTTGTGTCGTATTTAAGTTATGCTTAGTAAATCTGGGCACTTCGATGTAATGGTGAGCAAGCTTGTCTAGCAAAGTCAATTACGACTGAATAGTGATTTCGATCCTCACTGGGGTACCTTGTGCATTTAGTCTTGTGCTACGCTTAGAAAATCACAATAGGCATACGCACAAAGACACTTAGACACACGCATGCGCAACATGGACATGCTTTTATATGCAGGCACACATTTAAGAAAAGCATAGAATGAAGAATCAAAACATGCACGCAGACGCATACTGAATAAAAAAGGACTTTTTCTTCTTCTTCTTCTATGTGCCTTGTCCCTTCAAGACGTTGGCGATCACAGCTCTCCACAGCTTACAGTCTTTTGTACCTCTTAATAAATTTTGTCTTTTGGCTATCTTTCCCAAATCCTGCTTCACCATCCATTCACTCAAGCTCGTCAGGTATGTTATGCGTTGTTTTTCTCTGTCCCTCTTGCCATCAATCTGTCCCGTGAGTATCAAATTCTCCAAGCCTTCTTTCCTCATTATGTAACCTAGAAATTTCATCTGACTCTTCTTGATGTTAAGTATAAGTGTTGTTTTTGTTGCTTTGTCTCTAGAACTTTGTCGTTACTCACATCTATCTGAAAGAATTCTTGTCGTTAAGCTGAAAGGAAAGCCTTTCAACATATACAGTAACCGATGGTATCATGTATTTTAAATTGATAATTCGTGATGAGTTAAAGAACACGTTCATTCTAATCATTGAATTTCAGTTTCAGATTTTGTTATATATTTTGCAGTATTTAAGATCAGTTATTCTAATCATTTATTTAATTTCCATAGAATTGTGTTATTTGGGAAGTCCTGTATTGAACAGTTTACAAGCATGTAATTAAAACGGATAATTATATATACCAGCAATCCGCGTGAGTACTTCACGGTTTTCCTAGTTGAATTTTCTGATGAATTTTAATACTTAAGTCGATGATTGAATATACTCCTTGGGAGTTCTACGACGATAAAATAGTCATGGAAATTCCCCATATTGCCTCGTTAAATATTGGGTCTTAACAATTTTAATAAACTATTACAATAATATTCATAAATATGAATACAGGTCATTATTTAAGGAAGGAAGAAGGCACAAATGAAAAAGTTTGAAATTGACAAGATTTTCCATTTCATTGAAGCAGTTAATAAATACGTAAGAGCGTTATTTTTCTTTCTTTCTTTCTTTCTTTCTTTCTTTCTTTCTTTCTTTCTTAAACCAAACAGCGTGCTTGACACATCTTGTCTTCCATCGACCATCGGGACCAAAGCGGAATAGTCCATTATTTATGAAGTATTAACACGGCGTAGCGTATGTACGTACGTACCTACCTATCTATCAAAATGCCTACCTATCTAACTAACTAAGGAACAAGCAGAGTTATAATATGACGAGTTGGATTATCTGACGATGACACTACTCAATGCAAAAGCAATTTCAACACGAAATTGGTAATTTTTCATTCATAAGGGAATGTATTTCTCATTGTAAACTTGTCACTTTTTCTCTTCCATGCACTATTTAAATGATTGAATAGTTTTTATTCGTTTTCTACGGCTTATCAACACTTTGAAGTTTACTTAAAGCCAACAAATAACCCTTAGATGGAGGGAGAAGAGATGGATTCATACCTTTCCGAATGGTATTTACGCGTAAGTGAATATAAAGAAATCAATAGGAATTGGAACCCGGCTCTCCGATTAACAATTCCGAGCCATTATCCACCTGCACATACAAGATTACAACACCTGGCATTCTCAAGCGGTCACCCATGTAGGTACTGACTAGGCTCGACGTTGCTTCAGTTCGCTGATATTACGGGAACCAGTGTTTCGACATGCGTAGCCGTAAGCCCTCAATGATTGAAAAAAAAAAGAAGAAAAATGAACTATTTTAAGAAAAATGCATTTTTATATCAATCAATGTGTAATTAAATACCTGAATTCATCTGAATAAAGCATTAAGATGTTAATATTTGCCATTTCTCTCTTTCTGTTTCTATTTCTCTCTCTCTCTCTCTCATTCTCTTTCTATATAGTAAGCAACCGTTTATCTCACGATAAGGCAGCACCCTGTTTGGTTAAAATTCAGTCATTTTGTGAGCTGTGTCTGGAGTAATGAGTTGCATAACGGACCTGTGCGTGAGGATTTTTATAATGAGAAGAAGATCATTGCACGGGGACAATCCCACTCTCTCGGTCTGGGAAATCTTGATCCGGTGGCACGGAGAGCCGTTGCGACTGGAGACTGCCAGGCTGCAGTAGATGACCAGGACTTCTTCAGGTGTCACATCCATGCTCTAGGGCACTCCACAACACTTTCTGCCACCGTTTTCACAACCGTTGGATCCACAGTTGATCTCTCCCGCTCGTTCCGCTGGGAGTCAGTCTTCGCATGCAGTAGGGCATATATATATATATATATATATATATATATATATATATATATATATCTACTATCTATATTTGTCATGTTGTCTGTCTGTGTGTCTGTCGTGGGCGTTGTTACCTCGCCCAGGCCGCATTTCTCACCCGATTTCGATGCGGTTTTCAACACAAGTTTGCAAATGGCTGCCGTAAAGACATGACGGAGCCCGATTTTTCAGTTCGGAATCAGGTTCCGAAAAAATCGATAATCGAAAAAGTTCTGCTTACAGAAGGAATGATCGCATTTCAACCAAATTTGACAGCCTCTTAGAGTCTACCATTAGAAGTGTTGTCCAGAAGTTTCATGACCACGGACCCCTAAACAGCGCGGAAAATCGATAAAACGCCAAAACCGATACGCCCAGATTGCGTCTGAACCGCATGTCGGTTTTTAGCGAAAACCGAGCGGATTTATGAAGAGGCCATTGGGAGTCATCATGTAAAGTTTCAACTCTGAGCACCCCCCCAAACAGAGTGCAAATCGACAAACGGTCAACCCTTAAAAATGTTTTTTTTATCGTTTTTTTTAAAGCTGATCGTATTGTGTTTATTTTGTTTAGTTCTTTTTTCGTAACAGATTTAATGTTTACTATAGAGCTTAGAAAAAGTTGGCAGTGTGATATAGGCAAGAAGTAAGGCATGTAACAACATCAGCACGGCAAAGGACACTCCTCTAAAGGCAAGGAAGGGCAAACATATTTTAAGTCAAGTGATAGCGATTGCTGTATTAGTCATACTATTTTTGAATCAAGCACGGGCAACGCTGGGCCATGCTGCTAGTATAATATAATATAATATAATGTGGTCTTTTGTACCGGCATGCTTATTTCATCAGTTAGAAAATTCCCACAGGCATAATTATTTCAAATGGCAATTGTATTTGGTAGAAAAAAGAGAAAATTGAAGACTATATATAGATATTCTGGATTTATATTCTTGACATCATCCATTCCACAAGAATTTTTGTTTGTTTCTTTTTTGCTCTTTCTTTGCTATTACTATTTTGTAAAACAGTCATGAAACTTTACCTCCCAACTGATAACATATCACTGAATGATGTTGGGAGTTTCAATAAGAACAACGTGAAGAGATCCCGTCCGTGTGGGTCGGTGGGTCGGGTAAAAGAAGCACGATATTCTGTAAAAGATACAGGGCAGAATGGGCTTGGGCTATCATCGAGTGAAAAGGTTTCTGACCTTTAATTCTTGCAGCTTGTGTGCAGCGTATACATATACAGATGATCGGTAACCCCATATATATATATGCATACATGTATGGGCACCTCGATGGGATATAATGGTTAGCAAGCTTGTCTTGCTAGAACAATAAGTCCTGAGTAGTGAGTTCGATTCTCACAGGGTGCTGACGCTTTCGTCCTTATTCCACATCTAAGTTACGCTTAGAAAATCACCGTATATATATTTATTACTTAATCCTTATTTTTATTTTTAGTAGATACACATATTTGAGCAGACGCTCTGTTTATTTATTAAACTGTATATTTATTTTCGTCTTCCTGCTTAAATATTCGAGAAATCTTATCTACACTCTCCGACAGGATTCGAACCAGAGTTCCTTTTAGCAGAAGAAACCGCCGATAGATTTGGTGCGCTTTAGACTGTCTCCACCACGAAAGTGAGTCTCTAAAGCTTTGCTCAACAGATATTTTTCTGTAGAACAGAGCAGCTTCTGAATATTATCCTAATGTGGTAACAACAAAGATAAGCATAAGGTGTGTGTCATCCATCGGTCTCGAGAAAACTTGGATCTGCACCCAAAGAGTTATACCTCAGCTGCTGATGACGCTGCAGCATTTGTTATGGCTGTACAGGCCCACACGGGAGTGACAGTCTCGATTGCAACGAATGCATGTGAAGACGCTCCCTCCCGATGTTGCTTTGTTTTCTTTCTGTCGAGTATGCTTCTCCCCAGCGGCAAGCCTTCGTTTCCCCTCACCTCGCTCCAACTCTCGGTGTAAATCACGTCTTCAGCGTGAGCGATGGTTGGTGACATCTTCCCACCTCTCAATGTCGATGTTCATCGCCCTCATGTTTCTTTTACAGACGCCCTTCAAGTGAAGATGAGGTAGCCATAGTGCCCTCTTGCTGGTGGCGAGTTCCCCGTAAAGAATTACATTCGGAATCCTCCCGTCTGGCATACGGTGTACACGTCCAAACCAGCAAAGCCGGTGCTGTTGGAGAAGGGCGTATAGTCTGGGTAACTGGGTACGGGTGAGAATTACAGCACTGGTGACCGGTCGGTTCAGCTGATGAACAGAATGCGTCTCAGCGAGGATAAAAGGCGTTTTTCTCCTGTTCGGGGTAACGAGGACAAACGAAGGCATGTAAGTAATGATAAAAGCCTATCTAATTAACCCATAGCTTGGGGGTAGAGAAGAGGTGGATTCAGACGTTTCCCAAGGGTATTTTCACGTAAGTGAATATAACAAGCCCGACTGGAACTGGAACTCGGCTCTCCGATTTCCAATTCCGAGCGGTTATCTATTACACCGTCCACACACCCAATCTTACATCGCTTGGTATTCCCAAGCGGTTACCCATCTAGGTACTGAACCGGCTCGACGTTGCTTAAACTTCAGTGATCGTACAAGAACCGGTGTTTCAACGTGATATGGCCGTAAGCCTGGGTTGTGGGGGTTCGTATGCATGTGAATATGATACATTAATTTTATGTCCCGCAAAATAGCATGGGAAAAACGATAATGGGAAAATAAAATTAATTAGAGAAATAGTAATGTCAGACGCACACACAATATATATATATATATATATATATATATATATATATATATATATATATATATATATATATTATATATTTGTGTGTGTGTGTATTATCACGTGTCTTTATGTGGGAATGGGTACATTAAGGAGAGTAAGAAAACGAGAGAGAAGCTGTAAAAGTAAGTATTTTAAGTAACAAAAGAAGAGATAGATTGATAGGAACAACTTCAGAAATATACAATCGCTGAAAATATATATCTAAAATAAAGAAAGGTGAGTGTTGAGGCTCTAGATAAATAAAAAATATGTATATATATATATATATATATATATATATTTTAAATAAAGAACAAATTTAACTTATTTCGCTATTTATTTAACTTAATCTGATGAAACTAAATAAATAGTGAAACGTAAAATTAATAAAGTTTTTCCTGTTTATTCCTTACTTGATCATTTTGTTGGATTTATCTTCAATTTAAAAAAAAAAAAAAAAACAGATTCGGGTATAAACCCAACCAATACCTTGCATTTTGACTATAGTGCAAACTGAAACTATTTTTACCTTTTTGACAATTCATTGTGATTTCGATTTTAAATAAGCAAGTTTAGAAATCTCAATATATATATATATATATATATATATATATATATATATATATATGAAACTTTTAAAACCATTTATTTTATTTTCAACACCATCACTTGATAAGACACAGATGTGTTGAAACAAAATGGCTATTTTTGTAGTGATTTTATAACATACTTATGTTATAAATTTTTTTATAAAATAATTATATATATATATATATATATATATATATATATATATATATATATATATATATAAAAAGAAAGAACAGTAAGATATATAATCCGGTGTTATTATAGGTATTTTTATTTTTACAAAATAGTGCTCGATGTAAATTTATAGAGCATTAATATTATAATTAATTGATTTAAAATATGTTTTTTCCGCTAAAAACCATATTTTAAATCAATTAATTTATAATATATATATATATATATATATATATATATATATATATATATATATATATATAGTGAACATTGAACTCAAACACTCAGAGGCGACAGACTATTACATGCTAAACGCAATCATCATCAGATGATTGCCTGATAACTGCGCTTAGCATGAAACAGTCTGTCGTCTTTGCGTGTTGACTTCAATGTTCACTTTTATGTTTACACACGCTTTATCTCTGATATTGAACACCTATCCCATAAATATAGCATACCTTAAAACTGCATATATATATATGTGTGTGTGTGTGTGTGTGTGTATATATATATATATATATATATATATATATATATATATATATATATATATAATAGGATAAAGAACAATTAGGATACAGATCTTAATCTAAGATGATTCACTTTAATAAAGTTTCATCAGAGATCAAGATAGAAATGATAAAAAATGATAAAAAGCAACAGAGACGCAGATTAATTGTTTGTTTTGTTTGGATATTTCTTATTGCTTACATACGTGCCACATGTTATGAAGTAACAGATAATATTCAAATATTTGCGGCAAACATATATATATATATATATATATATATATATATATATATATATATATATTGACATGTACTAGACTAAGAGTCCTGCATCATAGCTTTCGGAAGGGCTGTATTATAGATTAGGAGTAGCTGTAACCATAGATTCGGGGGTGAGAGCACATGACCCTTGCACCCCTGCTATAATTATACAAAAGCAACAGCCCGCTTTAAATAAAATATTTTTCATCATTGGAAACGACAACTTTGAAATAATGAAATATTTATATAAATGTTTCCGGTGTTGTCAAACTCTGTGAAACCGTTTTCCATATGACCTGCCTTATACGATGCATGTATATTGGGATTTGAAATATAGCATTACAAACATGTCAGGATTTAGCCAACAAACTTCTACGGACAACATTTAGTTCTTCATAATGACCAAAGCAGTCAAAGTACTCGAACAAACACAAAAAAGTTATTTAGAAAAAAGTATCTGATTGGAATTCTGTTCCCTTCTTTACAATTTTGAATTCGGAGTATTCCTAGACTTTTTTTTTTAAGCATTACGCCCCGAGCAAGGCGTGAAGCCACTAGGATGCAGGGGGTTGCAGAAGATTTGGAGCAAGAGCAAATAGGAGTGATAGAAGAAAGGATGAGGAGAGGGATAGTGGATAGATCAAGGTAACTGGAGATGTCGATTAACATTCCATTTGAATAGTTGGAGATTATAGCTCTCAGGGAAACAGTAATTGGGAAGGGTGTTCCACAGGCGAGAGGCGCGAGGTATGAAGCTATTGGAGTAGAAGAGACGTCTACATTTAAAAGTTTCTACAGTGTAAGGGTGAGAGCGGGATGCCAGCCTCGTAGGGCGCTTGAATTCATGGAGTCTGGGAACCAGTGAAAGCAGCTCATCGGAGCAATTACCATGAAAGTATTTGTAGAAAAGACAGAGAGAGGCGACGGAGCGTCTGTGAGAGAGTGACTGTAGACGAGATGCCAGATCAGGGCCAATTTTATTACATATCCGTCTCTGGATCTTGTCAAGAACTCCGAGGTAAACAGAAGGTGCCCCAGTCCATATATGGCAGCAATACTCCGAATGGTTGATTTGTATATTTGAAGTACCGATTCCGGGGAGAAAAATTTCCTCGCGCGGCACAGAGAGCCAACTTTCGACGCGGTGGACGATGCAGTTGACTCAATGTATTTGTTCCATCTCAGGTCAGCAGTCAACGTGAGACCGAGCAGACGCAGAGAGTATTTGCTGCAAACCAAGGCTAGGGAGCCCAGTCTATACTTCTATTTAAGCGGTAGTTGAATTCATGCCTAAAAAAATGTGAACTTAGATTTTTTTGAAATTTACAAATCTATTGTTTAATATTGGCCTTTTAATTCGATTTTTACAAGGAGCCTTTTTCCATTTTTTATTTCTTCTATAAAAGCCATAAAAAATCCCAAGACAATGTATAAAAAGAAAATTAAGAACTAAATGATATTTAAATGGGGTGTCTAAAAAAACACGGTATTAATACTGTGATAGTGCGCCACAGGATTAATTCACTTTGCGTCTGTTTTCTGTCAAATGCGGCCGTTATTTAAAAGTCGAATGAAAAAACAGCCGAAAAGGATGTGAAACGAAAGATATTTGTTATCAGTGCTGATTCAAACCGGGTCAAGACACACCCACTGCGATGACCCCAGAAAGGTTGCGAGGATTATCGAAAGTTTAACCATTTTCTATCAATCTGTGTATTTATTCTATCTCGATTTAGGCAACGGTAGTCAGTATTCCGGATGGATTTTTTGTTCATCAAATACAAGGCTCCAGAGCCACTCAAAGTAGTGTGTTACTGAATGAGGTGTGTAATATGTACAGTATTACATTACAGTAGACATTGACCTCAAATTTCGCACTAGACCATCAAAATGCATCACGGATTGACTTCCGGTCATTGAATGCCGACCTCACACGTGCGGCGACCGGTATTTAAAGCGTGAGAATAAATGTCTTGGACATATATATATATATATATATATATATATATATATATATATATATATATATATATATATATATATATATAATAAATGAAAATTTCAGTGTGTCACTGTGTCACACCTTTTCAACTTTATTCCTAGAGGCCGTAGCCCAACATATCATACTTTGGATATGAATCAGGCCGACTCTGAGAGCAAATTGAAAACATTCTGGGCCGGGTTCGATCCGAAATCCTGAAATTTTGAATTTCCAAGTTTTCATTACTGCGATTGATTTCGGCGATTTTTTGACGTGATTTTTGCGACGTAGTTTTTTTACGATAAGATTTTTTTTTAACTTGGAAATAAATTCACCCATAGTCGAAATTAATTGCGAAATCCAGTGAAAGTCACCCATCAAATAAAAATGATTTGTTTTTACGGAATGTAACGACCCGCGTACATCAATTTGTCTTTAAATTAAGCGGAGACAGGAGAATTATCGTGGCAGTTTTAAAAGGTAAGCTTAAAATATTAATGCAGTACTTAAATGCAGCGATCAATTTTGAGTTCTTTTGTAGTTTATTGTTGCCTATCACATCTACTCCTCCCTATCTATTGTGATGAAGGTCCAATCATGAACCCTCCGCAGGAGTTAACTTAAATGCCGCTCGACAGGGCAGCTTTTAAACTACTACGTACGTATATATATATATATATATATATATATATATATATATATATATATATATATATATATATATATATATATATATATAAAGCAGGATGTGTATGTAACAAATCACGGCCGCAATTTTCGACGGATTTGCACCAAAATTTACATGCACATGCTCCAAGTTAGCGGGAAGGCCAAGACCGACTTTGCAATTCCCAACTCCCATCGATAGTGGAAATAATCGATTTTTTCATGCTTATACGGCAGTTTTCACGTAGTTTGCGACTATTTTGCCAATAGCTGGCTGCCACAAATAGACAGGAAGATTCTATTAGCCAGCGTGATTCCGCAGAACTGGGTTGGGTGTGAAAAAGTATTTATTGTTAACATTCTTTTTTTCCAGTGACGAGTCCTTTTTTTAAAGCTGATCGTTTTGTGTTCATTTTGTTTAGTTCTTTTTTCGTAACAGATTTAATGTTTAGTATAGACCTTAGAAAAAATTCGCAGTGTGAGTTGGGCTAGAAGTAAGGCATGTAGCAACATCAGCACGGCAAAGGGCACTCCTTTAAAGGCAAGGAAGGGCAAAAATATTTTAAGTCAAATGATAGCGATTGCTGTATGAGTCGTACGATTTTTGAATCAAGCACGGGCATCGCCGGGCCATGCTGCTAGTACATATATATATATATATATATATATATATATATAT